TGCCAACAGTAGAAAAGTGGCATTATAAGGAGTATGCAGAAATAGCCAAACTAACAGCAAAATTCAACATCAGGGTGATGAAACATATCAAAAAGAATGGGGGGAAATTATGTTATATATAGAGAAGATGATGTGAAATAGAACTGAAATAAACCTCATAATGGGAAAATACAAAGAAATTTATTGGACAATAATATCAAAATGAATTAAAAATGTATACTATGACCAAGGCTGAACAGTATTTGTAAATGAATATAGACCGACAACAAGAACTGTATATATAGAAAGATTTATTTGTTTATGGACATTTCATGGACAAAAATTGAAGAAGAACAACTACCGTATATACAATGCAAGACAATGCAAAAAGACGACACAAAAAAGCCAGAAGAAGGAAGGAGGGAAGTCAGCTCTTGAGAGCAAGAATAAATGTAAAATGTAATATAATATGTATATGTATAGTATGTAATTATAAAAAAAAATAAAGATCAGCTTAAAAAACCCAAAAAAAAACAGCATTGCCCCACCCCTTTCGTTCAAAGCGATCAGTTCCAAAAGCCTTGGAGCACTGAAGGAAGAAGCCAGTCCAGCTTCTCTCAGGAGGGAGTGCCAAAGCTGCCTGGCAGCCGCCACCACTGAAAAGGCCCTCTCCTTTGTCGTCCCCCCCAAGCCTGCCCGTGTCTCCCCCACAGATCTCTGAGCCCAGGCAGCTTTGTACGGGGGAACGCGGTCTTTCAGACGGCCTGGACCGAGGGCTTTATAAGTCATAACCAGCCCTCTGAATTGTGCCTGGAAGCAGACCAGCAGCCAAGGGAGTCATCTGCTCCTAAAACCACCCCAGTCCATAGTCTGGCCGCAGCTCTTTGGGCTAGATGGGGTTTCTAACCTGTTATGTACTGAAGTTCTCACCCTGGGCCAGCAGGGGGATACTGTAGATAGTTCAGGTCCACATATGCAAATAAGGGATCGAAAGTGACGTTCAGTGATTGGATAGTTACAGAAAGTTGTTACAGTTACATTGTACTGGAGCTCTATATAAGCAGGCTGGCTGAACCCTTCAGTTCAGTTCTGTTCTGGCCTCTGAATAAACAAGAGCTGTTTGAAGAATCGCTGTGTCGTCTGATATGTTCACCCACAACTTAACACAAGCACTTTTTGATATGCTTCGCAGAAGAGGGTCCTTCACAGCCATGCCAGTCATCCTATGGCTGGTTGCTTCCTCATAAGCCCCATTTCTCAATCCCCGGAGGTAGACCTGCTCCTCCAAAGGGCAGCTGCTGTTTCCTCTCCCTGATCTCCCACACATACATCTCTTCCCCCGCCGCTAAAACGATGCCAGGAAGCTGGATCATGCCACAAGATAACCCTCCTTCTAGAGCTATTGAAGGGCAACCGCTGCATGTGTCTCTTGATGATCATGTGCAATTGGTGCTCGCATAGACCTCGGTTCCAGTGCATTTCCCAGGAGCTGCAGTGGCCTCTTAAGACCTCATAACTTGGAGTTCATAGTTTATTCATTTTATTGCATTTCTATGCCACCTTTTTCCTCTGCAGGGTGCAGGAAGCTGCTTGACAGTGGAACAGTCTTCCTCGGAAGGTGTTAGACTCTCCTTTACCCTCCGGGTCCCTTCCAACTCTACAGTTCTCTGATTTTCTGGCCATAGTTAAACAACCATCCTATGCCTATCCAACTAACATTACTGAGATCTGGTCCAAAATCAGAACAAGCAGGTAAACGTGTGCCTGAGATGGAAACAAACCCAAGCAACTCTTTGTGTGCAGAAGGGTATTCCACATTCCCATCACTTACTTCCATGAATCTTGCACCTAGAGACAGTTGTTATATGACAGAAATACTCACTGTTTCATCTGCTAAAACTGAGAATCTCAGGAAATAGCAGGCCTTCACAACAATAGTCTCTCTCAAAATCATGCCACACAACTTTATTCTTCCACGTTCTTGCATCCCCTGCAAAATGTCTATTCTGTTGCCTGTGGCCCTGGTCTTACCACAAAGAGCAAGGTCCTGTGACTCATAACACCCACTGTTACATATTGCAGCTTCTGTTCATTCATTCCATCATTTACTGGATTTCTATCCCACCTTCTTCTCCGAAGAGCTCAAGGTGGCGAACACGGTTCTTCCCCTCCCCACAATAACCCTGTGTTGAGAGGCAGTGACTGGCATTCAAGGTTCATGGCCGACTGGGGATTTGAACCCTGGTCTCCTGGGTCCTAGTCCAACACTGTAACCACTACACCACACTTTCCCCTAGTACCTCTTGCATATGACATTAAGCAGCATTTAGCAAGGCATGGTAGTCCTTTGCAGGGAAGGCAGGTAGCAGCTCAAAGCCAAAGTCCTTTTAATAAATATTAGGAAAGGGAGATGGGGGCAGAGCTGATCTCACGCACACATTTGGGAGGAATCAGGTATCTTTGGGGAGGCCTGACTCAACTTGCAAGGAGGAGAGCTCACAACTAGCAGAGCTAACAGTAGCCAAGAAGGTTCTTATTCCTGCTGCATTTCAGCTGCCTGACCCACTTTGGCTGCAAATAAAACAAAAGCAGCAGGAAGTTTAATCTCCTAGAGGGCTTAACTCATTGCTCACCAGACTGGAGCCAAAAGCCTTTGGGATGCCAAGGTGGCTGACCCCAGAAGAGCAGGCAGCCCTGGAAACATGCAGAAGGAGGAGCCAGGCTTACAGTGGGGTTCCCCATTACAGGGCAAGCATGCCAGAAGCATGAAGTTGGCAGCTACTGTACCTTGGAAGCAGCTCAGAGCATCCCATGAAAGAGTAACTCCATCTTCATACTCTGTAGAGTCTTGGAAGAGACCGAAGGTGGCTCGTGCCAGTGGGGATGGAGTTCAGTCTGCTCTCCTGGAAATGTTTGTCCGCTTTGCCTGAGAATTGTAGAGTTGGAAGGGACCCAAGGGTCATCTGGTCCAACCCCAAGCAATGCAGAAACCACACCAGAAGAATCCATGAGAGGTGGCTATGTGAAATCTTGCTTAAAAATCTCCCGTAAGGAAGAGTCAATCACCTTCTGAGAGAGTCCATTCCACTGTCGAACAGTAGGCCTGTGATCCCCAGGACCTATTCTGAGCCCACTGACTTCAGTGATTAGTCCTGAGTGTGACTTGATTGTACGAAATTGTTCTAAGCAAATTAGAGTTGGCTCCTATGACCCGCTCACGCTGGCCGGACACTGAGGTCCACCGGGAGGGTCTTATGGTGGCTGTGTCCTGGGAGGAGTGAGGCTGCAGGGAACCAGGCACAGGGCCTTCTCCGTGATGGCCCCGCCCTGTGCAATGACTTTGCACAGGCTTCTGAAGAAGGCAGCCCTGTAGCGGGAAGCTTTTAAAGTTTAATCCTCTTTTTGTAGATGCTGGAAGCCGCGCAGAGCGGCTGGGGCAACCCATACAGATGGCTGGGGTACAAATCATAAAAGTAGGATGACATGATGGTGAAGATGATCCTTTCGCAAAGCGGCGGGCGGAGAGCGGCGCGGTCCTCCCGCCGGGGCGGGCGCTGGCTCGGCGGCCCCTCCCGCGCGGCGCCGACGTCGGGCTGCTGGGAGTTGTGGTCCGCGCTGCCGAGCCGCCGCCGCCGCCGCCGGAGAGCCTCGCCGTGCCGGGAGCGCCGAGGGCGGCCGGGAGCGTCGGCGGGAAGCGCGGGCAGCGGCAGCAGCAGGTAGGTGGGCCGCTGGGCAGGTGGGCGCCGGAGAGCAGGCGCGTCTCCCTCCGTGGCCGCCTCGGCCGCGCCGGAGCCGGGCGCTCGGTCCGGGCGGCGGGCGCAGCCAGCAAGTGCGTCGCCTGCCGCCTCCGCGAAGAGCGCGTGGCCCCGATCCCGCCCGCCGGGGGACGCGAGGGCGGCGCTCTGCACATGCTCGAAGGCGGGCCCTTTCGCGCCATCTCGGGCTGGCTGGGCCTCGGCAGGCGAGCGGCCGACCCGGCGGCTCTGCAAGCCAGAGAGCCCCGCGGAGCCAGTGCGGGGGGGACTCCCGGGCCGAGCCCTTGGCGCCCGAAGGAGCTGGGACGCCGGGTGCGCCGGGCAGGCTGCGGGGGCGTCTGGCTCGGCCGTGCGACTCACAGCCGAGCCCCTCCGGAGCACCTCTCCTTCAGGACTACACCGGCAGGGCAGGAAAGTACTCTGCACATGCTCCGGAGGCCCTTTTTAAACGTGTTCTGGGCTGGTCAGCCGTTGCAACTGAACCTGGACTTCCAGAGAATACGAACAGGGACTGGGGGAGGTCCTCGGAGTTGCTGCTCTCAAACCCCTCTGCTCATGCTCAGGAGTACTTCCTGGCATTCCAAGGCTCCACAGGACAAGAGAAGTGGGGAGGAGGACGGACCTCCAGGCGCCCCATCGCCTGCCCCCAAGTGCTCCAGGCAGCCCAGGCCCCCTGACTGGGATCCTCGGGCAATTGCTTTGGCTTGGGTGCTCCCCCAGGCGATGGCTTTGGCTGCTCTCCAATGCTCTAGGAACCATCTGCTTCACCCAGGCTAATCATCCTGGGAGGTTTCCCTCCTTGCTTGCCAGGAGATTCCTTGAGAGCAGGGGAGGGCTCTCCCCCACCCCCAATATTCTTGCTTCAGAACAGTGTTGGCACACACACACACACACACACACACACACCCTTACACCTCCTGTGCGTGACACTTCCTGCTGCTTCTGCACCTCAGTCCTTACATAACAGCTTTTCCTGCCTAGGAGTTTCTCCACTTGCCACTTTGGAGTGTGCAGTACAAGTGCAGTTTGGAAATGGATCCTCTCCCCTCCTCTCTCCCCACCCTTTCCTGTTGCCCCCAATTCCAAAGTGACAAGGCTGTTCATGCAAACACGCTGGAAGCAGCCTGAGCAGGTCCTGGGCACGTCCAGACCGGAGGAAGGAAATCCAGGCGGTGTTTGCTTCCTGCATGGGAAATGCCATCATAAACTGCTTTGCTGCTGTGTCACAGTATTTGCTGCCTGCCCACCAATCCACTTCCATTTGCCATGTGGCAGTGCTGGCCCCTGGTTGGTGTCCACGTCTCCCAGAACCTTTCAGCACCAGTACCAGGCCTGGGCTCCAAGGTGGGCCAGCCGGAGGCAGGAAGGAAAGGGCTCTGGGTCTTGCCAGAGGACCCAACACTCAGGAGGCTGCAGAGATCTCAGCCTGAGCAGAAGGTGAGCCCAGCTCTGGCTCACTTTCCTTTGGGGCATCAGGGTTTGTTGTAGCATGGAGATGGAGACCAAGTTAATTAAATTTGGGGGGGGGTGTCTCCCAGCAACGAGGAAGCTTTTTATTGCTGGCTTGGTTGGATTGGGTGAGTTACCTTATTTCCTTGGGGTTCTTTTTGCAGCGCCCATGGGGTGCTGTGGGGCTCATTCTGGAACTTCACCAAGTGCCTGGAGCCTGGGTGTCCAGAACACAGTCAGGCAAGTAGTCTTTGGGGGTTCTCCCAAGTCTGAGGACCATCGTTTGGGGCTTGAGTTGAAGAAATGCTGTGGCGGTGGACTCTCACGTCCTGCGTTTTGCTCTCATTGAGGCTGCTCCGAAAGCCCCCTGTTTGAATGGGGCAGTGGAAGGGTAGCAGCAGAACAAGGGCCGGGTCTCTCCATAAGGTGGTCTCTGCCAGCTGTGCCCTCTGCTCAGGACAGGGTCCTGAGTTGGGGGAGTCCTGGCCCAACTCCCTTTCTGGGGACTAAGGGACCACTGGACATTGCCTCTGGTCCTGGCTGGTTTGGAATTGAGAAGTTCTCTCCCAAAGTCTGTCTCTGCTTGTTTGCAGCACAAAACACTAGGGATCTTTCTGCCATCCCAGGTAAGCAGGAGCCGCCTTGCGAATCTGGTGGCCCTGAGCCTGAATGCTCTTTGAGGGGAGTCCAGCTTTGGGTAAGGAAAGCTCTGCTGCGCAAGGCAGCCCCTTTCTGCTGACGTTTCCCTGGCACCTGTACAGGCTGGACGGGTCCTCAGTCGGACCCAGCAAGGTAGTTCCACCAGGGGAGCAGGCCTTCCTTGCAGAGCAGAGTAAATGGAACCACTCTGGGAGGTGATGCTGTTTGCAGCAGCACTCCAGAAGGGGCACTACCTGCCAGCTGGCAGGCGGGTGACTCAGGTGCCAATTGCCACGTTTGTGGTGAGTGGGTGGGATGCATTGTCAAGGGTGATTGACATGTGCGTGCGTGGGGGGGGAGTGGGGAAGGTGCCTCCTGCCCCTGCTGAGAGGGTGGGAGGGCTGAGTCTGGCGCTGCTGATTCAAATGTAGAGAGATGGAGCACAGGGCAGGCAAGCGAAGCTGGCAGGACTGCTGGACTCCAGAACCATCTCTGGGAGCTGCACAGAGGGAGGGAGGGAGGGAGGGGGAGGAAAGCCAGCCTGCAGGTCTGCCCTGTCCTGTTCCACCACCACCCCCGCCCCGTTCCTGGACCAGCTTGAGGCATCCAGTGATTGGGAGCAGTGCAGCTAGAGCACTCTGCTCACCTAGAGAGCCAGCGTGGTCTAGTGGTTAGAGTGTCAGGCTAGGGCCTGGGAGACCAGTGCTCAAATCCCCACTTGGCCAAGAAGCTCACTGGGTGACCTTGAGTCTCGCTCAGCCTAGCCCAGCCCACAGGGTAGTTGTGAGGAGGAGTAGAACCCTGTGCACCACCTGGAGCTCCGTGGAGAGAAAGGTGGGATGCAGTAAATTTTAAAAAATAAATATATCAGTGGTAGCCCAACCCTGGTGGCAAAATGACATGGGAGATGTGAGGGTGGGTTGTTGTTATTTTAACTGAGTGATGGGGAAGAGGGGTATTGCTGCTTCTGGCGCCACATGGGAGCTCACCTCAGCTTTGTCTACGTGCCAGAAGGTGATGGCAGATCAGAAGAAAGGTATGTCCATGCAGTGCAGTTGGCCTCCCTTGAAGACTCTGGCCTGCGTCCCACTTGAGGGGGGGTCACAATTCTGCACAAGGGCCAAGGTGGGAAGCCTCCAGGGGCCGTCCAGACTTTCCTGCCCTCCAACAGCCATCTTCCCCCAGAGTCACTGGCCATGCCAGCTGCTGGAAGTTGGAGCCTCACAGGGTCTGCAGAGCCCTGGACAGCCATCCTCCCTGCTTTTGGGAGTCCTCTACAACCTCCACACACAAGTGGAAAACAGGCTGGACAGGCAACGGGGCTCAGATGCAAGAGGGACCCGTTTTCTCAAGGCTCCTTCCTGTTTTCTTGCAGATCCTTCAATGGGAACAGAAACTGGGACCTGGACCGGGTGCTTGTGGAGGGAGCATGCGCCCCTTGTGCATCCGTTTAACCTGGGCAACAAATGAAGGAGGCCCCAGAGACCAGAGGACTCTGTTGCGGGTGACAGCAGCTTTGCAGGAGTGAAGTTGTTCCACAGATCCCGGATCTCATGGGGCTCCATGGCGCTCATTGGCTTGGAAGCGATGTGGGAGCATCTGTGGAAAGGCAGTGCCTGAGCTGAGCAGCTTCTCCACTGTGCCCCTGGCTGCTTGAATTCTGGAACCTGCCTTTCAGGATGGCTGCCCCTGAAGCTTTCCCAGGTCTACGGCCCTGACGCAGGAGCTGGCGAGCCGCCACAGATGCAGCCTGTCCCCCTCCGGGACCCCCTGGCACTGCTTGCCCATGACTGGCCTCTCCCCACTTGCCCCTGTCAGCCTGCGTGGTGCGGGTGCCTGTGGAGATCTTGAGAACTGACTCTCCCTTGCACGCGCTAGAACCCGGCGCCCGTTCCGCAGCCCCAAGATGTCTCTGGAATGGCTGGCAGGATGGAGCGGGTCTCTGGACCGGCTGAGGGACTTGATCGCCGGTGGGATCCAGTCTGTGCGGGACTGCGACACCACCGCCCTGGGCACCGTGGCCTTCCTGCTGGCCATGTTTGTGTGGTACTGCTACCACGTTGGGCGGGAGCAGCCCCGGACGTACGCTCTGGGGAACTCTCTCCTGCAGGGGGTGGACACCAACGGCCTGCAGAATGGCTACACCCACTGCCACTCCCCGGAGTGCGTCCGCTGCGCCCACAACGACGGCCTGAACCAGAAACTCTACCACAACCTGCAGGAGTACGCCAAGCGCTACTCGTGGTCTGGGATGGGCCGCATCCGCAAGGGCATCCGCGAGCAGGGCCGCTACCTCAGCAGCCGCCCCTCCATCCAGAAGCCAGAGGTCTTCTTCCTGCCCGACCTGCCCACCATGCCCTACTTCCCCCGCGATGCCCAGAAGCACGACGTGGAGCTGCTGGAGCGCAACTTCCAGACCATCGCCTGCGAGTTTGAGGCCCTGTACAAGGCCTTCTCCAACTGCAGCTTGCCCCAGGGCTGGAAGGCCAACAGCACGCCCAGTGGCGAGTGGCTGACCTTCTACCTGGTCAACCAGGGCACCTGCGTGCCCCGGAACTGCCGCAAGTGCCCCCGGACCTATCGCCTGCTGGGCAGCCTGCGCACCTGCATTGGCAACAACGTTTTTGGGAATGCCTGCATCTCCGTCCTGACGCCGGGTGCCGTTATCGCGGAGCACTACGGACCAACCAACATCCGCATCCGCTGCCACCTGGGTAGGCACCTTCGGTTTACCTTCAGTTCTGGCCTCCTCCCTTTCAGGAGAGCCTCCCTTGACTGTGCCCTTAGCAGTCAGGGGCTCTGGGCACAGACAGAGCAACCGTCCTGGACGGAAGCACAGCAGCTTGGAGGGCAGCTCAGCCCCCTTACCTGCTGGGTGGCAAAGCTTCTGGTGGGCAGCTCTGGGGAGCATCATGAAAGCGAGGCTGACCTGTGGCCCTCCATCTGTTGCTGGACTCCAGCTCCCAGCGGCCAGCCTGCCCAATGGTCAGGGAGGGCAGGAGTTGGGGTCTGCATCTGGAGAGGCCCCACAGCTACCCCATCCCTGCCTTGCTGTGGACTTTGCAGAAGTTGAGGCCTGAAAAGGAAGCTTTGCTACTTCTCCAGGGGAAATTTTCCCTTGAGGTGTGTGAGCCCTACACCTTACAGGTGCAAAGAGCACACACACCCCACTCCATACTTTGTAGGGTGGTGTGGTCCATGGATCTGTTCCTTAAAGGAGGGAGAAATTCTATAGGTCCTTTAAAACTGACGTGGGTTTCTTCCAGACGTCATGGCCCTCTGCAAATTGTTCAGGGTGCAGAGTTCCTTTTCAAGTCCTCTGTTTCCCAAGCAATTGATGGGCAGCCCCCTAAGAGTTAGAACAGCGGATTATGAAATGAGGAAACGCTGGGAATGCAAAGGGGGCCAAAAATCCACAGTAGTCTTGGGAATGGGCTCCCTCCGAAGGTGCTGGAGTCTCCTGCGCTGGAGATGGTGGCAAAGAGGTTGTGGGTGGCCATCTGCCAAGGAGTCTTTAGCTGCGATTCCTTCATTGGACCAGATGCCCCTTGGAGTCTACTACATCTCTACAATGTCAGGATTCTGTGCTTTCCTTTCCTTTTTTCCATGCAAAAGTCTGCACCCGACTGCATTTCCTGCCTTGCTTTCAAGTAGATAGCAAACGCAGCTCTCATTGTTTGCTGGGTGCAACTCGTGCTGCCAGGCTGGGCTGCTGCCATAGCAACCCCTGAGGCGGTCTTGCGTGCTTCCAGCCTGCCAGCCGGCCAATCTGAGACTGAAGCCTGGCGGATGCCTCCCTGCCTCCCATTAAAAGTGCCACAACGGCTGGTCTCGTTCAGCCAGGTAGGGCTGGCGTTAAGCGGGGTCAGTCTTGCAGGGAGCTTGGCCTGGCGACTGCAAAGTATTTGGGTCATGAGCTTTTTTGAAAAAAGGATTGGACATGTTTGTGAAGGACAGCTCTAGGGCTGTTGCCGTGCCAGCCTATTCAAAGCCTCCCTGTCCCGATGCCATCCCAGGTGCCAGAGAGGCAGAGCGGTGTAGTGGTTGGAGAGCTGGACTAGGTCCTGGGGGACACCAGGGTTTGAAACCCCCGTCAGCCACGAAACTCACTGGGTGACCTTAGGCCAGCCTAGCCTTCCTCACTGGGTTGTTGTGAGGATTAAATGAGCTGGAGAGCGCCATATAGGCCACATGAGCTCCTTGGAAGAAAAAAGGTGACTAATAATAATAATAGCATAGGGGGATGATCATCTCCTTGGTGCCCCTCAAGACCTCTTCCTAGCGGAAAGAGTACGCTGGACCTGGTGAGCTCTGGATCCACCCTGGCAAAGCAGCCCCTCTGCAGCAAGCCCAGGACTGCAAAAGGTAGAGGGCAAGATTGTAAAATCCACCCGCCTTCAGGGAACAAGGAAACGCAGGTGCTTTGGCTGGCTGGTGTTTGGCTGCTCCCATTGCCGTTCCTCCTTGGCTCTGCCCATCATGCATCTTCTTTCTTCCTGCAGGACTGAAGACCCCCAGCAATTGTGAACTTGTTGTGGGAGGGGAGCCCCAGTGCTGGGCGGAAGGGCGCTGCCTGCTCTTTGACGACTCTTTCCTGCACACGGCATTCCACGGTGGTAAGTCTGAAGCCCTGACACACCCAGAGGCTGGAGTGTGCCCTGAGGTGTTTTCCCAAGGGGCTGATGGGGGAGGGGAGGGCTTTGCTGGAAACAGGTGTGTGTATCCCCCCTAGCTCCACGTGATTCCCAAGCGCTGAGAAGGAAGACCCTCTCTCTGCCTGACTCCTTGCAAAGCTGCCTCAGTATGTCCCATGCAACTTCTGACCCTTGCAGTCAGCTTCTGCAGGTCTAAATGACATTTCAGGTTGTTGGAAAAGGTACTTGTGTGCATGAGCATGGGAGAAATATGGAGGAGGGCAGGGAGAGACACTTTCAAGTGTTTCTTCCCACCGCCTTGAGGGCTAGCAGCTTGATTTTTTAAAAGAATAAAGATAACACCAGGCCTGAGTGCATGGTCCTGTGAAGCGCTCCCTAGTCCTGTTCCCTCTTGCATGCTGATTAACCATGGGATGCACAGAATACTGGGGACTCTTTTCAGCAGAGCACAAAGGGGGCGCATCCTAACAGTGTTCTGACCAGAGCTGGGGAGGGGCTTTATCCTGCAAGACACAGAAAACACATTATGGTTCCAGCCGGCCTTAGTGGGGCTGCTGCTCCTGCCCCTCCACTGAGATACAGAGGGAGCATTCAATCATACATTCACAGCCATAGGAGACCTCATTAAACTGATACGGCTGGGAACTGTAGTTTGTGAAGGGGCTGAGAGTTGTCAAGAGGCCCTGCCAGAACCGTTTATGGTGGCATCGTAGTACCCTAAAGGTATGGTAGTAAGAGAGATGGGACCTGGCGACCAAACTCACCCGCTGAACTGCTTGCCCTTCCTTTTCTTCCTCCAGGTGCCCCCGAGGAAGGACCCCGGGCCGTATTCATGGTGGACCTCTGGCACCCAAATGTCGCTGCTGCCGAGCGCCAAGCCCTTGACTTCATCTTTGCTCCCGGACGATGACGCAGCTTCCTTGGGCACAGCAGGCTGGAGGGCAGGCAGAGGGTGCCATGCGGGGTGGCCTTGAGCCTGGAGCCCCCTCCCCAGTTGGCCTGCCTGTGTGAGGGTCTCACACACACAAACAAACTCCATGTGTAGCTCCTTTGCACCAGGTTTTTGGTCGTGGAAACTTCCACCTTGCAGTTTTCTCTTTCCTATTCTTTGCTTTGGGGAGGGGTGGAGGAAAGGCTCCCCAAGTCCTCCTTCCCACTCCCCACCTGCCCCCCTTTCTACTCTGTGGTTGGGCACCATGCCACTGTAGTGTGTTAACGTTGCTGTGTTTTGCAATGTCCTGACTTTAGAAGCTAACAACCCTGATGTTATTGATGAATGTAGCCATGTCAGTGTCACCTTGTCATCTTTACAGACAAAAGCACTCCCCATTGGTCTAACTCAGAGGTTGGGGGGGGAAAGGGGGCTCTTCCTGCTGTAGCTTTTCATGGGGGCTTGGATGGCCTGGGGTCCATTCTTCCCCCTACCTGTAAGAAAACAGACCCCCTCCAACATCTCTATGTGCAACAGGTGAGAGCAGAAGTAGGGGGGGCAAACTCTGTCCTCCCCCTAGCATAGAGCAGTGGTGTGGGACCCCCAGCCCCCCCCCTCAAGCTTTGCATCAGCTTGCTTTGTGCCTTCTCCTTCCTTTTGGCCCCTGCTGCTTTCTGTCCTGGCCTTGAACACTTGCTGCACATTCCTGCAAGGAAGAGGCAGATGCAGAGGTCGAGGGGGGTGGGTTGACCTCCTGGTAACTCCCTCCCCCCCCCCAGCTGCCAAGGGGAGGCTGAGCAGCCTGTCATGTATCTGGGAGGTGCAGAGTGGGGGCAGAAGAGGATTTATTTGATGCTCCCCTCCCAATCAGAGTGGCTGGAGGGAGACTTAAAGCGCAGTGTGTTACAGCTGGGGATATTTGTGCCGGCAAAAACCACAAAGGCTATCCAATAAAAAGAAGTTTTGCTTAAAGATGCAGTTGGTTTGTGGGAGGAGGCTGTGGAGCCCCTCCTAGCTGGAGTGGGCACAGAGGGTAAGCTGCCTTACGGTCTCCACCTCTCTTGCCCTTGGGGGCTGGGCTGTGCCTGGCACGACTCTCTTTTGTAGTTGCAGGAACCCTGGGAAGGAGGGGATCTGAATGGCAGCAGCCTCAAACACCTCCAAAAAGTGGTTGGGGGCACACGTGTGCCCCTTCAGAGGGAGGCAGGGAGTAAACAGCCCCCCCCAAGCCCGTCTGTGCCCTTGGTCTGCCTTTGCCAGATGTGTTGGACTGCAGCTAATAGCTGGGTTCTTGCATTGCAGGCCCTTGGGATTCCTTCCAACGCTTTACCTCCATAAGAACTTACTGTCAGGAGGGAGGGCAGGACTGTGAATTCAGTCTCAGAAGTGGTGCATTTGAGCAAGCGTAGGGTGAACATGTGGGTCCAGGGTGGAGCATGACCCAAGGCTCCCTCTGCAAAGTGCTCCTTCCAGTCTCTCTCTCTCGGTGTGTGTGGGCAGCCTTCCCCACCCGCTGCCAGCATACGGCGCTCACAGATGGCAGCAAGTGGCCCTTCTCTGCAGGCAGCAGCGCAGAAGCTGTTTTGGTTCCCTGCCTTTGTTGCTCTTGCAAACACCCCTTCCTGGCGCAAGACCAAGCCACCCACAGCCCTGCTGCCTTCCCAGGGCCTGCGCTCTCGCGACTCGCCTTCTGGCAGGCGAGGGGGGCTGGGGTGCCAGTGGGGCAGGAACAAGAGGGGCTTTTCTGGGCGGCAACTTTATTGCTGTGCTGGGGGACTTACAGAGCAGAGGGTAGGAGCTCCAACCTTCTCAACACGCCCCCTCAAGGAAGGCAGCCAGTCGCTTTTCCTTCACAAACATCTGCGACACGATCCAGGCACTTGATGCAAAGCGGAATTGGCTGAGAGCTGTGCACCTGTTCCCACTTGCCCTGAAGCAGTACAAAGGTGCCACCACCTCAGAAGGCAGGGGGAGAGGAATGCATGGGCCCGCCGGTCCCCATCAGCACCATGTCCCTGTCTCCTCAAGCCCTGTCAGCCGTGACGAGGGTGGGCCAGCATCACGAGGGGAGTGTGCGTTGCCATTGGCAGCAGGCCATCTTTGGCGGAGGAGTCGATGTGCCCGTGCGCAAGAGCCAGGCAGGCCCCAGGGAGGAGACTGAAAGGCAGCCACTGAGCATCCGGCAGGTGGGGGGGTGCACATGGCAGGAGGCTATGTCTGGTCAGTTGCCGGGGGAGAAGCTCCAGGCCTCCCCCCACAGTTTCAGAGCTCATCTAAAGCATCAAACAGCATTCAATAGAAAGCAAAGACAGAAACATCTGGAGGGCATCAAATTTGGAGAGGGGACGGTGGCCTGGTTTAGAAAAAGCCCTCCAATAAAAAGGGTTTTGAAGCTACACCCCACTAAGCTCCACAGGAAAAATGAGCAGGGCAAGGAGCAAAAGATCTTTCTAGGGAAGCTAGCTCTCCAAAGGCAGGCAAAAGTCCATAGACGACGAGTGTCCAATGATGCGCTTTTGGGAGGGACGTGTTCCCTCAGAGGAGCTCTCCGGGGAAGCAGGGGAGCTATGATCTTGCCCCTTGGAGTGGGTAGCTGGGGGTGGGCATCCATGTGCTCTCCCAGCTGGAACTGAGCCGAGGGGGGGCTTCTTCCACCCATACGGTGGGGCTCTGAAGTCCTGACAGCCCTCAACCCATTTCATGGAACCGAAACAACAAAGACTCTGGTAACACTGTAAGAAGCCCCGGAGGATCGCAGGCCATGCAAGGAGGAGCCTCCTGTGTCTCAGAGAAGGTTCACTCCATGCTTGAGCAGCTTCTGCTTTGCCTTGCTGGCCAGGCCAAAGGCGCTGTCGTGAGGGTTGGGCATTCCTGAGTTGCGCAGAGGGGAGGCCACCTGCTGGAAGTAGGTCTCCTGGACGGCACTCCGACACGCGTACACAGCAGTAGAGGCGTTCCTGTGGGGTGAGAAAGCCATGTTTCACAGGTGTGACCAGAAGGCAGGAGAGACGCAAGCTTGACCCCGTGCCGGTGCTTCTGCTGCTGCGAACAGGGATCAAGTCTAGAGAAGAGCCTGCTGGATCAGGCCAATGCCCGCCCCCCAGCCCAGCATCCCCATAGCAGCCAGCCAGATGCCTCTTTCTTGCAACAAGGATTCAAGCCCAGAGCCCTCTTCCCCAGCAATTGGGAGGCAGAGCAGAGCCACAGTGGCGAGGAGCCATTGGCTGCCCTTTCCTCCACGAGAGAAACTTCTCTGTGAGGAAAGCCCAAATCTGCTGGGCCTTTTTAGTTTACAGGTGGTGGGAAGAGAGAGGAGATGTAGGTTCATGAGATCACATATGGTGTAGAGAAAGGGCAAGGAGGAAACTGGAAGCCAACAAGGTCATCTCTGTTTTCTGGAACACACTTAAAGGACACTATTCAATTATAAGCAGATTTTCAGGGGAAACACAAAAGAGAACAGCTGTTTTTTGGTCAGCATTCTTTCAGGCAAGGAAGTTACACCTTGTCTGCTTCACTTGGGATCCCCACAGAAGCACTTTTATGCAGATTGTGTGAAGTAACTCTGCAGAGATAGACATGCGCCTGCATATGGAGACTGCTCAGTAAATGGCGGTTTTCTAGGGATCCCCCCGGCAAGGTGGAAGCTCAGTCCAAGGACAGGCAGCCGGCATCAGCCTTTCCCAACCTGGTGCTCTGCAGGGGATGCCAGCATGACCAATGGTCAGGGGGAGCCCCACAACAGCCGGAAGGCAAAAGGCCTCTAAGTCTCATGAATTTCTCTGGCGATTTCCAAGAGAGCCTCAGCTGGCCTTCTTGAAAGCCAACGCAGGGTGTCGGGAGTGGCAGAGGCAAGCCTGGCCATGGCTTGGGCACATTAACAGCTGTGCTGAATGCAAGAGGAGGAGGGGCAGGGGGGTCCTCTTCAACAAGCAAATGAAAACCCCACTTTTTGCTGAAAATACACAAACATAATGAACTGGAGCCTCAAGGAGAACTGAAAAAAGCGAGCAACTTGCTTGGTCAACGCAAGTGACGAACAAGCAGGGATTGGGCTGGTTAATGGGCATGGCTAATCTTTCAAAGCTTGCAGTCTTTCCTTTCAGCATAAATGTATTTGTCCTAGTTAGACCAGGGTGTGGCTTTGGTGTGCTGTTATCATGCCTTCAGCTGAGAGGAAAGGGGGGGTGAGCACATGTGCAGAGCAGCAGGTGATGAGGAATGGAAATAAGCGGCCAATGCAGCCTTGGCCCCTCCAGCCAGGAGGGACGCTGCCTCGCTCTGCCTGCTGGAACGCCACCATCTGCTTGCCAGCATCACGGCTTGCTTCCGCCTGAGTGATCAGGGCCCAACAGCAAAACCTCCTTCCTCCCTGGCCCATTATAAGCCCTGCTGGCACTCAGCCAACCAGCGGCTCTCACAGCCCCTGAGCAGCCGCCAGAGAAAGACGCTGCTTCTAAACCTTCCAAGAGCTGCTCCTTACTCTGAGGCCCAGATCCCATTCTGGCTCCAGAGACAACTGGCAGCTCCCTCTGCATGCCCACCTGCACCCCGGGCTTATTCCTGCCCTGCGTGCTTATGAGGTTTGCAGGCAGGAGGAAAAGCCAGGTGGGAGCTTTTTCAAAGGGAGCACTGTCTGTCATCTGCACGCGCACAGGGGCCTCCCCACCTTACCTGACCATTATTTCTGAAGCCGTGGGCAGCTGGTGGAAATTGGCATGGATCAGGCTGGCTGCCCTCAGGAAGGAACGGTCTGCGGGGCTATTAGCAGGCAGGAAGTTGGCTGCAACATGAAGGAAGGAGGAGCCAGGGGTTAGAATCTCAGGACGGCAGAGCTGGAAATCCAACCCTCGCCAATAATAATAATAATTTTTATTTATACCCCGCCCTCCCCGGCCAGAGCCGGGCTCAGGGCGGCTAACACCAGTAAAATTACAGTAAAAACATAATTCGGAATCAATTTAAAATACAGGTTAAAATGCAATTTAAAATGCAGCCGCGTTTTGAAAGTAGCCCATAGATAAAAACCATAAGGGGAGGGAAACATAAGGGTCAGACTTGAGTCCAAACCAAAGGCCAAGCGGAACAGCTCTGTCTTGCAGGCCCTGAGGAAAGATGTCAAGTCCCGCAGGGCCCTAGTCTCTTGTGACAGAGCGTTCCACCAAGTCGGGGCCAGTACTGAAAAGGCCGTGGGCCCTAGTTGAGACCATTTTTGGACCTCCAAAATGTTGTCATTTGTGGACCTTAAGGTCCTCCACGGGGCATACTAGGAGAGGCGGTCCCGTAGGTACGAGGGTCCTAGGCCGCAGAGGGCTCGGTGGATCACGATGCAATGTAGACCAGAAATGGCCTGAATAACAGCTTCCAGCATTCAGAGGTCTGCTGCCCTTGTCCCTTCCATACTGCCACGATAGCTGGAAGCCAAGAAGGACCTAAGAGTCCCTAAGAGCAGTTCGACAGCTCCTGGCCGCTGACTCCCACAGAGCAGGCTCTCTCTGAGGCTCCCCTGCCCCCTCAGCACTTACTGGCCAGAACCTTCTGCACGGCGTCATAGTGCGCAAAGCCGTAGGTGACCTTGGCTGCAGAGAGGCTGTCCTTTGGGAGGGTCTCCTTCAGGTGGACCTCCAGGCCGTTCAGGGAGGCCAGGCTGCTGTGATACTGCAGGCCAAGGGAGAAAATTAGCTCACTGTGCCTGGAGAAGGCGCCTGCCCTGCGCACCACAGTGCCACACCAGGCCAGGGCCAGCTCACACGGGACAGCGCTTGCTGAGCCGTGGCAGGGCCACACGGTTCCCCAGCCACGTGCCCATTGGCCTCGTCTCCCCAAAACATCCTCCTGCACACCCTTGGGATCAAGGCACAGCTTGTGGCTGCCAGGACCCTGCAGAGCCCTCCTAAGAAGGCTGACCTGGGAATCCCAGAGCACTTGGGCGTCTGGGGGCCAACGCTCAGTGACAGAAAGTCCCTGGGCTCCATCCCTTCTGGCCGCTCTACAGCATCGCAGGGGTAGTGAAAGCACCTCTTCTAACCACGCTCTTTCCATTTGAGCACAGCGATAAGAAAGCCATTTCAGGGGGAAGGGAGGCTCCTACTCTGGCTAAGGACTGCAGCTCAGAACATCCCCCTGGCATGCAAAAGCTCCCAGGGTCAATCCCTGGCAGCACCTCTGGGGCACGGCTGGGAATGTCCTGGCCTGAAATCCTGGCAAGCAGCTGACAGAGCAGTTGATACTGAGCTAGATGGTCCAGTGGTCTGACTAGGTGCAAGGCAGGTCCCCCGTTTCCTCCCTCTCCAGCTCCACACTATCAGCCCTGATGGGCTCCTCCCATCAGCCCTGCCAGAGAGCCATGGAAAATGGGACTTGCAATCCCTTGGCTTCTCCACCTCTTCCTCCCCAGGGATCCTGCAAGAGACAAGGGACCCCTGCTGGCAGGAAGGCCATGGTGCAGGCTGCCACTCCCCAGAGGCCGAGCCACTTTGCTTGGTAGCAGCCAAGGCTCAAGGGGGGGACGGGGGTCCTTTGGCAGTAAGATGAACAAAGGAGTCTCTTACCACATCCTCAACAGAGGTTTTGGTGTGTGCAAAGTGCTCTTCAGCCAGGAGGGAGAGCACCAAGCCTCGAACATGGTGGACATACAAGACCATCCTTACCGAAGTGGTGCCACCTGACCCACCAGTTGCTCCAGCAGAAATCGGGCCATCTTTGCAGCTGCCTGGGCCTCCCTGGGACCTGAGAGAAAGAGAAAGAGGGAGACTTCTCTTTCTCTCCTGTAATTCTCTAACTAAGGATCCCCCAGTAAAAGTGGCTTGCAGAAGATCTGGGGACAGACCAAAGGAAGCCCTTCTTCACACATGGACAGGGAAAGCCCCCTTCTACTCCCTCTGCTCCTTCGCCAGATCCAAGGACTCCAGAGTGATTCCAGAGTCACCTACATGCTCCATTTGTAAAGGAATGGATGTGGAACAGCCCCACTCAGGGCTTCATCAGAGAGACAGGGTCTTCCTCCTCTGAATCTCTTTTCAATAGGGAAGCCCTCCAAGGGAGCTGAGGATGTGTGTGTTTGCTTTGTGCTATTTAGAGGTTTACTTACAATCAAGCAGTATAAACATTTTCTTAAATAAATAAGTTAGGACCTGCAGGGCAGCCCTAGTTTAGCAAGGAAAACTTAACTTGCAAAAAATACCCTGCCTTTACTCACAGCCCCAGTGATTGATACTGTTGGGGTTCAGGGGATTTGCAAAAAAAGATGGAAGTGTGTTAAACACCAATGCTTCCCTGTCGGCTTCCCTGTCTGACAGATCACACATAGCAGATCCAGGGTGCAAAGGAGGAACATATGCAGAGTCTGAAAGGAGGAACCAAAGCCAGGGCTGGCGAGAGGCGCTTGGCGGGGCTGCTGCTCCTGTCTTACCTGATCATCCACTCCACAGGGAAGTCCCGGAGGGCAGCTGCTTCATCATCCAAAAGGTAAACGGGGGTGATCCGGACCCCTGGAGGTAAAGGGGGCTCTGCAAAAGGGGTCAGAGCGCTTCTTAGGGAAAGGAAGAACGAGTCTTGGGTAGACTGTTTGGACCTATAAAGCGCAGCCCCAGTGCAAAGGGTACCTTCTGATAACCATGTGGTTGGAGCATCGAAGGGCTTGCACACAATTACATACTGAAAAAATGGATTCAATGGTGAAATCAGGCAGATTCTATGGTAAGGTGGGTCAAAAGAGAGGGCGGGTTTATGGGAAAGCCGTTCTAGGGAATTATATCCTTGAATGCAGGTTATACGACAATATTAGGGGCTATTATTTTGATCCTCTTTTAAAGAAAATGAAATTAGGGTGCTAAAAGGAAGCTGGGTTTCCTGCTCAGGCCACTGTTGTCTCCTTGGCAGGAAAGGCTGCTCTGCATAGCAGGAAGGCATGTAGCCGCCACTGCCGCAAACTGCCCTGGAGAGCGGAAAACATGAGAGACGCATATTAAAAGAGTAAAGTGTATTATGAGACAAATGTTTTTAATACATTTTATGCTTTACTATGAATCTGTTTCAAATTTATTACTCCTAATCACTAATTTTACTAATTACTAATTTTAAGTAGTGAGCACTATTTTCTTTCTTTTTCAATATAAGTTTATTTAAATTTTGTTTTCTGGCTTAAATTTTGTCACCTTCCTTTGTGCTGCTATGGTCCAAAGATTACTGCAATAAAAGTTATTCTGTTCTACAAAGTGATCATTTTGTCTGTCTCCAATATGAACCAGCCCAGACCCTGCACTCCTCTTCATCAGAGAAGCCTCGCCAGGCAAGTGAAGGGTGACCAGGGCCTTTTCAGTGGTGGCCCCATTTATGAAATGCTCTTCCCAGGGAAACCTGCTTGGCGCCATCATCACCATCAGGCTTTAGGTGCCAGGCTAAGATGAGACCATTTTTTTTACTCAGGCCTTCGGTAATTCAGTCGCCCCGTGAGGCACTGCTCATCTTTTAGCAGAGCTGGGTAGATGGTAACCCAATTAATATGTTACTGGGTGCACATTTAATGCATTTTCGCATTTATTGTTTTAAATTTTCTGAATTTAATTGTTTTATGCATGGTATTTTATCTTGTTGAGTCACTTTATTAATATTTATTTATATACATATTTATAGACTATTTCATAAAATAACACTGTAAAAGCATACAAAAAGTTAAAAATGAACATCAAGTAGCCGTTGTGGAAATATGTGTTAATTGCTGGCATAAGCTTACCAGAATAGAAAAGTTTTCAGCAGGTGTTTAAAAGTGGCACCAAAGGTGCCTGCTGAAATTCTAGTGGCAGAGAGTCTGGGCCAATGGCACTAAAGGATCCGTTTCTGGTTGCGATCCAGTGAGCCTTGCCAACTGGGGGAACAATCAACAATGCTCCTGCAGATGAGATACTTTCTTTTTTAAGCAGATCCCACAAAGAGTAGCAAGCTGTTCTCTCAGGGGCTGGAGAGCAATGCTTCCTTGCTGTTCCATAGGATCATTTACCCGCATAATGCAAAACAGCCTGCCAGGGAATGGAGTTGAGCTCACCTGAAATTCCTTTCTTGGGATCACTACCCTACGTTAAACAGCCTCCAGACTGTGTGAACAAGGCAGGGCCTTGTGAACCACAAACTCTGGGGAGAGGGGAGGGTGAGCAGCATGGAGGTCTAGGAGCCAGTCATGTGTCAAGACCTCCATGGAAGCGGAGGGGTGAGAATGCAAAGGTCTCCAGGACTGGGAAGAACTGGGATGAGGGAAGCTCTCTGAGTAGCGCCAAGGAATCTGCAAGATGGGAGGAGGCGCAATGCCTGCTGCCTAAAGATGCAGCCCTCTCCGACCGCCCCCCCCCACCTGAGCACCCTTTGGATGTAGGCCAGCCTCGGCAGGAGTCTGTTCTGCCTCTGAGCATATGCGGGGCCCATTTCCCCCTTGCTGTGTTGTACCTCCAGCTTCTACACTCCTACACAGGCGGCAGGGCAGAGGAAAGGGCATGAAGGCCCAGCACCCAGAGACGCAAGAGGGCTCCGTGCGGTCTCTCATGCAAGCAGTCCCTGGCAGACCCACCAAGGCAGTCTCCCCCTCTGCCAGCCCAGCACGCCTCTCCCCTCCCTCCCGACACTTACCCTGAGTCTGCAGCACAGCCCCATTTCCCGCCTCGCCCTGAAAGGGAAGGCAGAGAGTGGCACTGGGTGAGCTTGATAATAAAACAGCCAAGGCAGATGCCGGCAAGGGTTCCAGACTGGAGATAAGGACAGAAGAAAAGCCTGCTGGATCAGGCCAAAGGAGGCCCGTCTAGTTCTCAGAGTGGCCAGCCAGATGCCTGTGGCAAGCCACAAACCAGGAAGCAGGACCTGAGCACAAGAGCAACTCTACCCTCCTGCGGCTTCCAGCAAATGGAATTCACCTCCAACTGTGCAGGCTGAGCACTGTGGCTGGGAGCCATTGATAGCCCTTTCCTCCTCCTCCTCCTCCTCCTCCTCCATGAACTTGTCTGATTCTCTTTTAAAGCCATCCCAGTTGGTGGCCATTCCTGCCTCCTGATGGAGCAAATTCCACAGTCCTGTATCTTCCAACATTCAGCTTCACTGAACATCCACAAGTTCTAGTGCTATGAGAGAAAGAGGAGTTGACTTCATCCACTTTCTCCATACTAGGCATCATTTTATAAACTTCTGTCAGGTCACCTCTTCCTCGCCTTTTCTCTAAACGAAAAAGTCCCAAACGTGGCAACCTTTCCTCAGTGGGGGTTCCTTCGCCACCCTTTTCTGAACCTCCTCCAACTCCACAATATTGTTTTTGAGGGGAGGCGATCAAAACTGCACAGTCCTTCAAATGTGGCTGCACCATAGATTGGGGTGATGGCATTACACTGGCAGTTTTATTCTCAATTCCTTTTGTAAGATTTTTACTTAGAAAGTGTCTTCTGCTTCTGGGAAGAGTTTGGAGCTGTGGTTGCCTCGAGAGAAAACCTGGACATTTGAGGCAGGTGGTGGGTAAGGAGTGGCCATGAGAGGTTAGAAAGATCTAGTGAAGCCTTTTAAGACTTTCTTCAGCAATCATGAGAACCAGAAACCTGACTTTTAACATTAGCTTTCAGATTCCACCCTTGTACAGTAAGGAACCCATGCAACATGTTTTTCTCAGGTGCTGCGCCAGCACCGAACTACCCTTCTCCCTCCCTTGGCTGAGCTGAAGCTCACCTCTGAGGCTACGTCCACCTCCTGCAGCAGAACTCGGGCAGTGAGGTCTGGCGGCAGCTGAGTGCTGACAACCCTGGGCGGGGATGGGGAAAGGAGAGATGGCTAGTATTAACACGAATGTCCCACTGGTTTCCTGAGGTTGGATCCTGTGTTCCCTCCTGGCTCTCAGCTGAGCACGGTGACCTAGGGAGAGCTGCAAATGCTGCTCAGAAACATTCAGACAGTCGTGGCTTGATTTACCCCGAGTGGGCTGTGTGGCCCAATCCTTCCCAGGGTCCAGCCACAAGACAGATCCCTGCATGCAAGGCAAGTCCTTTGGTCACCCTGTCAATCTCACCATCTGGGAGGCCCAAGGGGTGAGTCTATAGAAGCAGACATAGGAAATAGTGGGTGAAAATGTGGATTATGGCCTCTGTGGACAAATGTGAGGACAGTACAGAGCAAGTAGCAGGGCTGAACGACATGTGCACCAAACACACTTGCTCTGGAGTGCAGGAGGCTGCCTTAGACAAAGTCAGACTATTTGTGTTCACCTTCCTCAGTACTGTCTACACTGGCTGGCAGTGGCTCTCAAGGGTTCTAGGCAAGGGGGGTCTCTCTCTCAGCAGGTGCTATTGGGGATGCAGAGCAGCTGCTCCAGCACTGAGCTACAGTCCTTCTCTTAAAAGCCAAGCTTCCAGTCCTCAGCTTTCTGAAAGGGCTCATTTAACCTGGAGCAAGTCAGGTCCGTAGTCCATTCAGCTGTGCACTGTCTTTTCCAGCCCACCTTGGAGATGCCAATAGGGACTGAACTGGGGACCTTCTACATGCAGAGCAGGCGCTCCAGCACTGAGCTACACCAGCCTTTCTCCAATGGGGAGAGTGCAGGAGAGTCCACACAACAAGTCATGATACTCACAGCCCCTGATAAGAAATGCATCCCGCCCGGACATGGAGGGTGCGCTGGCAGGTCTGCAGGATGAGAGCCGCTTTCAGCAGGAGCAAAGGCTCCACCTGGAGAGAGGAGCACAAAGGAGGCTGTCAGGGCTTCCTGACACCCTGTGGGGGGGGAGGGGAGGGAAGGGGAGAAGCCCCAGAGAAGCAGCAAGGTCTGCAGGGAGTTACTTTGGTTTTGTCCAAGGCCCAGAGGGAGTTGAAGATCCGGTGTAGGTCAGTGGTGTTTTGCTGCAGGTGCTCCACGTAGCGATCCCATGCCTGGTCCAGCTCCTCCTGGGCACGTTCCTGGGAAAGGACACAAGAGGCCATGTCAGCGGAGAGTTTATCCCTGGTGGGCGAGTTACAGGCTGCTTGTGGGCTGCAGGAAACTGTCCAACAGAAGCCAGGGCAGCAAAACGGAAGAGAAGAGGTCCCTAAGATTCCAGAGGACTCGAGATTTCAGTCCGGGAAGCAGATCTGCACATCAGGACTCCGTTCTGGAGGACAAATAAAAGGAGCAGTCAAGGTGGAAATGTGCCCAGGCCCTTGCAAAGGGCTTTCCCCCCACGGCCATCCTCTGAGCATCTTGGATTTGGGGGGTAGGAAGGAGAGGTGGGTCTGGATTGCCTTGAGAGACCCACATAACTTTCAAGTCACACAAAAGCCTTTGCTTAGAGAAGCCCACCTGTGAGGGAGGGGGCAGCAGGCTGCAGAAGCCCCTCTGCAGGGCAAGGAGGCTGCAGAGAGCAGGCCAGCCTGAAGGTCAGCCAAGGCAAGACTGAGAGGTGTGGCTCAAGGCTGATGTGAGGGTCAGAACACAACAGGAAACAGGAGGGAAATGGCTGGGAGTCAAGGCAGCATCTGCTCAGCAAGGCCCTGCTGCCCCCTTGGACCAGCAATCACCATGTAAGCCTGGCGAACAGGCCCATTGTAGAAGCAGAAGAGTCCCATCAGCTGCTCCAGGAACCGCCTGCAGCTGATGTCAGGGAGGTCAGTAGTGCAGCCCAGCACCTGCAGCAGAGAGGAGGGAGGGAGACTCTTGGTGAGTCCCATGGAACCAAGCCAAGCCAGGCCTATCTAATCAGGGCACTCAGATCCCCCATGACAGCCAAGTACATCCCTCTGAGAAGCCCACAAGCAAGGTGGGAGGGCAATCGGTGGCCCTCAGGAGGAAGGCTGCCTCTGAACATGGGCCTTCCATTCAGCTATCAGAGCAAAGTTCTCCCAATGTTATATAGAGGAGCACAAGAACAGAGCTGGAGAATCACCTGGATGAACATGTTGCTTACACCCCAGAAGCTCCAAGAAGCCCAGAAGCACGGATGGCAGGCCAGTGCCCTCTCCCATGTCTGCTCCTGGCAACTGGCACTCCAGGCTAGGCTGCCTCTGTTCCATTCAGCTAGCATGGCTAGCAGCTTCTTCCCATATAAATGGTTGCCATCATGCAGCCTGCCTGCACACCCACCCACACCCATCTTTGAAGATTTCACCAACGCCAGCTTTATTCCTTCCTCGGGCTTTATTCCCGCGCCCAGAAGAGCAACAACAACCTGTGTCGCCTTGCACTGACTCACCCAGATGTAGCTTCCATCCACTTTCACAGAGAACTTGAGCTTCCTCAACCGTATGAGGCCAGGTGGAGAGCCCGAAATCTCCTCCATGCAGCGAACCACGCCAGCTATCTGCCCACACAGAAGCTCTTGATGGTCCAGAGGAGTCTGAGAGATGTGGGGAATGAAGAGCCACAAAATGGTTATGCTATGGATTAGCCTTGTCACATCCCAGGCTATGGAGATCTGCCGAGCTTGGAGCATGAACGGCCAAAACCACCACAGAGTGACAAAAGATTGCATCAGAACAGAGCTCTACCCCTGATATTACTAGGTCCCTGCCCCAAGGAGCAAATAGTACAATGTTTGCCAGCACAGAGGGATGGAGGAGAGGGCTACGGGGCCAACTGAGAACAAATAAAATTCTCCGCATGCAGATTTTGTGGGGAAATAAGCTAGCCCTACCTGACGGGGGTTGAAATAGCAGATCCCAGCCTGCGTAGGATCTCCTTCTTCCTTCACCTTTGAGCCGTCATAGAGGAAAAAGCAGTTCCACCTGGAAAACATCAGTGCCATGGTGTTCAGGATGCATCACCTCATGGGAGCAGTCAATATTCTCCAGAGGGCTAGTTTTTCCCCAGGCAAGGGGGATCCGTATATGGTGATGTGGGGAAGCTATACAGGGGTACCTTGGGCTAAGTACTTAATTTGTTCCGGAGGTCCGTTCTTAACCTGAAACTGTTCTTAACCTGAAGCACCACTTTAGCTAATGGGGCCTCCTGCTGCCGCCGTGCTGCCGGAGCACAATTTCTGTTCTCATCCTGACGCAAAGTTCTTAACCTGAAGCACTATTTCTGGGTTAGCGAAGTCTGTAACCTGAAGCGTAACAGAAGCGTATGTAACCCGAGGTACCACTGTACTCTGTAATTCTTGAAGGCATGTTTAGAAGGGAAGAGATTCAAAGTACAGCTACTGACTTTCCAGGTGACCTTGACGCTTCTTAAGAGAAAGGTTTCAAGTGTGTCAGAGACTCTTCACTTCCCTGCTCCTTGCATCTCAAAGGAACACACAGGGGCTGAAGAAGGCTAAAAGAAGCTGTCACAGAAACTAAGGAAGGGCACTGCCCCAGTACAAAGCAAATGAAACCAACCAGCCCACCCTTATTTAAATAAGAAGAACATAACCCAAGAGCCATGCAGTCCAGCATCCTGTTTCTTACAGTGGCTGGCCAAATGCCCCTGGGAAACCCACAAGAAGGACAGGAGAGCAGTAGAGTCATCTCCTGCTGCCATTCCCTGCCGACATGTATTCAGGGGTATGTTCCCTCAGGGGTATGTTCCCTCTGCTGTCAGAGATAACAAAGAATCACTGCAGTAAGTAGCTGCAAATAGCCTTCTCCTCCATGAATTTGATATTGGAGGCCATCACATCTTGTGGTAGCACACTCCACAGTTTAAGGATGCACTGTGTAAAGAAACACAGGAATTGTGTCCTTCTTGAAACTCTCACTCTCATTTGCTCAACGTTGGAGTTTCAATTGTTTATTTGTTTGTTTTTTAAAGAGAAAGATTGTAGGAAGCAGCCCCTAGGATGCTGTAATGGTACTTACCAGGCCCTGGAGGTTGGATCAGACTGCACACAGTCCGCCATTTAACTCAGATTCTCTTCACCACATCTCATTATCTTCACAAAGAGCTTCTCATCAGAAAAAGGTAGAAGAGGACTAGATTCATATTCCAGACAGTGGTTGATTGCTCCAAGAACCCATCACATACTTAGGTCCTGAGTGGGTTCTGAATAGGGATGGCCAAATCCCCCCAATGGGTGGCTGGGGGGGGGGGGCTTTCTTACAGATGCTGATGCCAACAGGTCCCCCTCAGCCTCATTTTCATGCCAAGCACATTCACCAAATACGGATGCTCAGTCAGACAGGACAAGAGAAACAACAGAGACCTTATTTAGCATCTCAGCAGCCATTTGGATGCCAGTTTGGGGACTGAAGAACGTTTTAGCTGAAGCTTCCAAACCAAGATTCTTTGAAGCTCTCTCTCTCTCTGTGTGTGATGTCTTGTGATTCCTGCTCCAGGCGTGGCTTCCTTCACTCTAAAATTAAGAACTGGATTAACGTATGAAGTCTGCTGCCCAAGTCATGTGACCCACAGCAGCTGATAAGTGCCCAGCATCCAATTTTAACAAGAGAGCCAGGATGGTGCAGTGCTGAAGGGGGTCAGAGTAGGACTTAGGCAAGGGTGGCTTAAAGATCCGACGAGGATAGCCTACCTCTCAGGTTTGTTGTGAGGTCCTGCCCCTTGAACACGGCACTGTGTCTTGAAGGAAGGGCAAGATTTTGAAAAGGAAACGAGAAGAAACCCAGCCAAGAAACTGCTTGCGTGTAGTGGCCGCGCCCCAATTCCACTGGTGAGCCCAGGGAGCCCAACTGCCTCTGCAGCCTGACCCGAGGTGGGGAAAAGGACAGGAACGAGGCTCCCCAGGCCGTGGGGGGGAGAGCGAGGCCCCTCTGCTCTCGGGCTCCCTCTCCGGGCCGACCCCTCGGGCTAAAGTCCGGCGAGGAGAGGGCGGCGTGTGAGGCGGCAGAACGCAGAAGCCCCCCCACCCCGCGGGGAAAGAGGCGCTCTGTCCATGCTCAGAGGCCAGGCCTGCCCACTTCCCGAACCTGAGAGACAGAGAGAAGCCGCCAAGGAGCCCCGGCCTCTTCCGGGTTCCACCGCCACGCGCTCAACGGTCACATGACCGGCCCGACCCGCACGTGACGCGCAGAGAAGGGGGCGGACCGAGGCCTAGGGCGAAATGCGCAATAAACACATCCGGTTTGCGATCGAACCGGATCGGAGGAGAAAGGGAATGAACGGGCCAAAGAGAAGCGCCCTCGGAGACACTCCAAGGGCTGCCTCTGCCCGGGCTCCAACTCTGAGCCCTCCCAGCCCCATATTGTGCACCGTTTGTTGCGGAGTCGCGGTCGTAGCGTCGCTACTGCCCCGCATATGGCGGCTGCCGAGTGGGTGAGGGTAACGGAAGTGGTGTGTCTGCCACGCGCCTTTCCTCTATGGTCTCTACGGGTGCCGCGGAGGGCCTCTCCTGGTGGAATCGCGCTCGCCCCTGGCTTTGCATGGAGCGCTGCCGAGCGGGCGAAGGCTGGGGCGCCCCGGGAGGGAGCAGGAGGCGGCGGCGGCGGCGGCGGCGGAGAGAGGAGCGGGGCGGCGGAGAGGCCGAGAGCCCCGAGGACGCGGGAGAAAGGCAGAGGCGGCGGCTGCGGGAGGCGTGGTGAGGGGCCGTGGATCCTCCCGGGGCAGCTGCGGGGGGCAAATCCCGCGCGGGCCGCCGGGAGGCTTCCGGGGGAAACCCTTCTCGGGGGAGCAGGGGGGCGCGCTGCGTCGTGGGCGAGCTTTCGGGGGCCACATGCCAGGAGCGGGCGGGGCCAGTGGGCGTGACGTGGGACTTCCGAGACGGCACTCCAGCCAGAGTCGGAGAGCCCAGCAGGAGGGCAGTGGGGGCATTTTCGCCCGCGGGGGAGGGGGCGGCCCCGGCTTGCCAAGAGGGCCACATGCAGCTTCAGGGCGGGCCTGAGGTTCCCCCTGGGCAGGGCAGACTACCTCTGAATGCCCAGCTGCTGCAGGGCAAATCCCAAGGAAAACGGGCCGCATTCCTGCTCTGCTTCTAAGCTTCCCAAAGGCTCATAGCTGTGAAGGGGCCTCCTTGAAGTATCTGACTGGCTGCTGTTGGAAATGACGCCTTGGTCTGTCGGTCTTCGTGGAGCTGGTTCCCTCAGACGTTTTGGACTACAATTCACATTATCCTCAGCCAGCATTATTGTCTTTCCATCACCCGCAGCATCACAGCTGTGATAGCTGCAGCTGATGGGAACTGTAGTCCAAACTAGCTGCAGAACTGGTCTGTAAACGGTTCTAATTTGCAGTAGAAATATATATATATAAATAAAAATTTGTCCAGTAGCAACTTAACACTTCTAAGTTACGTGTGGGTTGGCAATTTGGCAGCAGTTGACCAACAGGGAACTCTGTTTATGCTCAAGGATGCTGCTCCCTTATTACTTCACATATCCACTTGCATTTAAATCAGGTTCTGGGATTAAATCCTGACAAGTCTCTGCTAGTATCCTCAAAACCATCATAAAGAGGCTTACTGGATCAGACCAAGGATCCAGCTAGTCCAGCCTGCTGATCCCACAAGATCCTTCCAGCCCTAAATCCCACCTTCTGTAACATAACTTCTTCCTCTTCTCCCTGCCTTTCTGTGACAGTTCAGAACTGCAGAGCTCAGAATTCTGGGATTCAAGCCTCGGTAAGTCTTGCATCTCAAGAGAGACCTTGGATTTTTATTTTGTAGCTACAGCCTTGGATTTGTGCCTGTTTGTAAGCAAATCTATCCAGGGGTGAAGGTGGTGGGGAGGCAAGATGCAGTCATGGCTGAAGTGGCATTAGTCTATATTGCACCCTCTTTCATTGCTCAGGAACCATCTTAAAATCCCTCCCCAAACACCCAGCAGCAGGGAAGGGGGTAACCAGACCTTCCGTGGAGAAAGCCCTCTCTGCCTTTGAGAAGCTGCAGCTCACACCACCAGCTGAGTCAGTTCTTGAGCCCAGCTCCCAGCTGCAGGAGGAGCCCAGCCGCAGCAGAGCCCAGGACTTGCAGTGTGTGTGTTATGGCATTGGGAACTTCTCCTCTTGCATTCAAGCGCAATACCAGCTGGCCTTCCTCCTGCTGCTGCTTGAGGAGCTGAAGGTGAGGGTCACAGCTGTGGCAGACTTGGGAGCAAAGCTCGCCAGAAGCACACAGGCAACATTCCCTCTCTCCCCTTGCAGATCCCTGAAGATCTGTGTTACATATTTGACCCTGTCTTTTCCACGCTGGAAATCAAAGTCCTTGCCGATCTTGGGCTCACAGTGCTCCTGGAGAATGAGGTGAGCTCCAGGAAGAGAGGAGCACAAACTCAGGGAGAAACATGCCCAGGGATCAAAACACACAGCTGAGGACTGTGGCCTTTCTCAAAATGATTGATACCAAAAGTTCACAGCTGTTTAACTCCTTTAGCTCTTGTGGGGTGGGGGTTGGTTGCAGTTCTTGCAGGATAACACCCCTCTTCCTTGCATCCAGGAGGGAAAACGCTGCATCCACAATCCTACCATCTTCTACATGGTCCACTGCGGAAAAGCTCTCTATAACAACCTGCTCTGGAGCAACTGGTCTATAGAGGCACTTTCCAAAACGGTCATCATAGGGAACAGCTTCAAGGGCATTGAAGACAGGTAGGGAGCCCTTCTGCATCACCCAGCCCAAGAGCAGGCAGGGCTGGGCCTCTTGGCTGCTGCTGCTGCTGCTGCTGCTGCTGCTGCCGCCGCCACCCAGTGTCTATACAAGAACAAAATTGGCATTTTCCACTTGTCTTCCCACGAAAATCTGGGTTTTGAAAATTCAACTCCTTTTTGCAGTGATTTCCTAAGAGTTTTTGCAAGTATGGTAGTCTCTGAAGGCATTTAATCACACACAGAATGGGGAAGGCTTTGCTCTGCCTCCGCAGTTGGAGGGAGGGCTGCTTCTCCCCACAAGAGGGAGAGCGCTCTTATGCTCAACTGGCTTGCAAGTTTCCCACAGACATGTGGCTGGTCCCTGTGGGAACAGGATGCTGGATTAGATGAGCTGTTGGCCAGACCCACAAACCCTTTGGATGTTCTTAGTTTAGCAGCACCCTCTGCTTAGTAGGCCGTGGTGTTGCCTTTCTTGCAACTGCCAATGATTTCTAATGCCCTTTGCTCCTAGGATGCTGAGCAGGATATTCCAAAAGGACTACAGTTACATTGCAAAGGTACGGCTTTGTTGCTCGAATAACAGCGACTGTTCACCATCCAGCAGAAGCCCTTAATGCATCAGCTCCTAACGGGGGGTTGGGATCCACGCTTACCAACTCTTCTCCCTTATTCCCGCTTGGCTGTGTTCTAAGCAGCTTTGCTTTTGCTGGGCTTATAAAAGTGTTCCAAGAGCTGAGCACCCAGCTTCAAAGGCAACTCTCTTTACAAGCTAACTCCCTCATAAAACAAGCTGACTGAGGCTGCCCTTCTATCAAGCCCCACTCAGTGGAAAACAGGCATCTGGTGGGTCAGGGCGCAGCAGAGCTCTTACACAAAGAGGGGAGCTGCTCTGCACCCAGCAGACACAGAACCTGCTGGATTGCCTTTGATGTGAGCTGGCTTTGGAATCTGCACATCCATTTTAGTCTTATTGGGCACTGTAAAACTTGAAAGCGTGCCACACAAATACTGAGATCAGTGGTTAAGATAGGTAATGGAAAAGCTAAGGACCTGTCACCCCTCAGACTGGATTTCCAATTTCCATCCTGGAGGGATATGTCAGGTGATTACAACAGAGGACCACAGGTTCCCCAGCCATAGGGGATGAATTCTGAGGAGTCAAAATATCTGCTGCAGGGGCTTTCATAAATGTGGCACGTGGCTAGCTGTGGATCTGAGCCTGTTGCTCTCCTCCTTTCTCAAGGGCCAGTTCAGCAGCCAAGTCGCCCCCATTAACTGCCTCTTTGCTGTGCTTGACCATTTCTAGGTTTTAATAGCAACAGATGAAGAAGCCCTTCCTTCTCACCCTCAATACTTGGACATATTTAACGACACCTCTGTCCACTGCTTTCCTCTGGAGAAACTGAGGGACCTTCCCCCAGAGATCTGGAAGCTTCAGGAGGAGCCAGTTTACCCAGATGAGGATCAGCCTGAGATCATCAGAAACAAGAAATGAATTTCAATTCCAGAGGCTATGGACTGGAGGTGCAGGGCTGGGTTTGGGGTTCCTTCTTTGGAGAGGGGCTTGAATTACTTCTGCTGTTGCAAAGAGTTCATGTTAATGTCACACACACACCCCACCCTAAAGCAGATGACTAGCCACACTGTCTGTTTGTGTGTTGCTCTATGGCATCTCCATGGGACAAATGAGGCATGCGCAGCATGCACAAGATGCCAAAGCTCTCCTTATCTCTCTCTCGCTCGTTCACTGAGCGGCAGAGCTTGGGAGGATCAATGGGGCAAACCCAAGCATCACCACCATCTCTGTTCAACTCTGGTCTGGTACCTCCTATGAGAGTTCCCTCATGGGATGGGAAAAGGGGCAGAGATCTGGTGGTGCTAGGCAAGCTGCCCAGTAGGACTGGGCTCCCTCATTAAGGGGGAGAGCCATTCACACTCCCAGCTGCTGCTTCACAATTAAGGCAGCAACTTCTCAGAAAACCAAATTTCTCCACAAACCTTGTATTTCTAATAATGTTTTTAATTAAAAGCAACACACATTGAACTTTTGTGGTCATTTCTTATTGTCAGTTACCTCCTCCCCTGTTCAACATTGCGAGCAAGCCCTTACTCCTGCCAGGTCAAACTGCACCAACAGTGCTGTGATCTCACACTTGGAACTACTGTCTCACTCTAGCTGCTGCATCTCAAAACAGAGCTTTAAAAAAAAAAAAAGTTGACATTTTTATTCAGGGCGTCAGCATTTTCTAGATGCACTGATTGGAAGCTCAGGTGGACTAAGGCTGAGCAAAGGGTGGAGGTGCTTCCAATCAGATTTAGTGGTTATGGTACTTGGCCCCCCGCCCTAGATACAGGGGGCTAGACACCTCGCAACATTAGATGCGCTTGGTTTGCACTGGCCTTTCTGCAGCCTGGCAGGAGAGTTTCAGCATAGCCCTCGACCCACACGCACTGGGGCAGCTCCCGCTCAGGGACTGCCTTCCTGCACCTCCCGGTCCCCAGTGAATGAGGCAAGGCAGCCTGCATGGCAGTGCTGTGCCCCCTGAGTCCCAGCACCTTGTCCTCACTTTGCCATGTCAATGAGGCTCTGCAGGGAGGTGGGGACCCAGGTCTTCTCCCCCTGCACAAAGACCACACCCCGGTCAATGTAGATGACGATGCGGCCAAAAGTGTAGAGCTGCTTCCCTTCATGCCGTTTTCCAATGACTGGCATGAAGACGATGTTGTGCTCCTCCGCCTTGGTCTGGATGAGGTCCTTGAAATTCATGGGCACAGAGCCTGCGGCCATGCCGATCCCGCGCTGCGCCATGTTCTCAGCCTCCCGGCGCTCCTGCATCGCCTCATACTGGAAGTCCTTCCGGCGCTCTGTGTGTGTGAGGTAGGCAATGTTCTCGCGGGCCCCAGGCTGCATGTAGCCACCTGGAAGAGGAGCAAAGGGAGAGAGATGAGATGGCAGCTGGCAAATTTTTGCAGCCTGTGCTCTGCACAGGCCCTCCTAGCACACAGCCAGAGCCCAAGGGAAGAGGACACAGGGGGTCACACAGCCTGCAAGGCTACCCAATGAGCTGGAAAGGTGGAGCGAGGGGACAAAAAGCAGAAGAGGAGCCCTCAGCTGGATCAGGCCCAAGTGGGCCCATCTGGTCCAGCATCCTGTGTTCTCGGTGGCCAACCAGATGCCCCAGCGGGAAACCCGCAAGCAGAACCCGTGCACAAGAGCCCTCTCCCTCCTGTGGCTTCTAGCAACTGGTATTCAGAAGCATCACTGACTCTGACAGGGGAAACTGAGCACAGACATCCTGGCTGGTAGCCTTTGATAGCCCTTTCCTCCTCCATGAACCTGCCTAATCCTCTTTGAAAGCCATCCAAGTTGGGGGCCTCCTGGGGGACCAAGTTCCATAGTTTAATAAACTATACGCTGTCAGTGCAGTCCCTGTTTCTTCTCCCACTGTGCTGATTTTGACGAGGTAAGGAATAGCAAACCTTCTGAAATTGGGGCAAACAAGAAGAGGAGAACCAACTGCTCTGAAGAGCTGGAAAGGACTATAAGAAACATGGGAGCTCATAGTGCAATTCTATGTGTGTGTCTTCAGAAGGACGACCCCTTGGATTCAGTGGGATTTACTCATGAGTAAGTGTGCAAAGCAAGGGTAGCCCAAATGGTGATCTCCAAATGTGGACTACCACCCTCCCCAATGGCCGCTTGAGGCTGGTGAAAATCGTGGCCCTTCTACAGGGCTCTGCAGCCTCAGTCTCTTCCATTTTCCTCCTCTATGAAAAGGGACACTATTGTTTTGAGCGACTGTTTCCAATGATGATCCTTGAATTACTTCACTGCCCAGCCAATGCAACATGTGTGCTGGCAACCATCACTCACGCACCGACACTGGAAGAGACGGCTCTGTTCATGATGTCCAGAGCCTCGTTGAATTTTTCCTTGATGGAGGGATGGGCCAGCACCTGGTCGGAGAACATCGACTTCCAGCCCAGGTACCACTTGGTGATCTCTTCGTAATTGGGGTTGTTGCTGAGCCAGGAGCACAACACCTGCAGGAGGAGGAGGGTCAGCAGCAGAGAGACCACAAGCAACCCACCCCACCCCCCAAGGCAGAGCTCACAGATCAGGGACTCAAGGCTTTACTTGGGCTGCGGACGGGACAGGCTCACGAGGAAGCAGCGTCTGATGCATTTCTGATCCAGGGACAAGTATTTCAAGGGAAAACCAGAAGCCACCCAACTTCCAAAGGAGAGGGCCAGCAAAGCCCCTTCTGAAGTCTGGCAGCTCACATGGAACTGTAAAGGGGGGCACTGGTCAAAAGGAAAAAAACAAGTTCCAGCAACACCAATCCACCCCTGCTAGCAGAGAAGCCAGAAAACCAATCAGGTCCAGAGAGATCAGATGAGCAGGAAGGGAAAGGGAGGAAAGATGGCACACAAGACGTTTCTTCTCAACTGTCCCTCGAAAGAGATAATTATGTGGTGATTAATGATAACTGAGTTGTAAATCTTGGTTATCACATCTCTCTGGTCCTCTACTCTGGACTGTGTGTACACGAAGGTGATGGCTGGCTGGTGAAAGACCCTGTGTGAGAGGCAAGGAAAGGAAGAGCTCCCAGGGTGGGAGGCTGGGAGAGGAAAGGGAAGCTCCCAGGTGAGAGCTGAGGGGGCACCCCCTTCTGTATGAGACATGGGTGAAGATCTGCCTTTGAGAGAGGACTTTGCACTTTTGTTGTTGTTGTTCTAAAAACAGCCGTAATAAAAGTTTTGTGGCAAACAGATAAATCAGGTGAGCCTGCCAAGCTGCAGGGCTCCAGTCCATTTCAGCAGGGGTACCGGGGGCAGGGTGGGGATTCCTTACTGCCTCTTCCCTGGAGCCACCCTTAAGCAAAAGCTGAACTGAATGTGAGTTCACAAAACCCAACACTGCTGTTTGTGGCAACCTCAGATGTCCCTAAGGAAAAGTGTGGCTGAACCCAGCCGGACACTGCTGGAGTCACACACCTGCAACCACTTGGGGAAGAAGTGCTTCTCCAGGATCCCCACAAGGCTAGAGACAGAGATCATCCCTTCCCAGTCCATCACCCAGAAGAAGGAGTCCATGTGCTGCTGGTGGGGGTTGATCATCAGCTCGTTCAGACACAAGCCTGTGGAGGAATGTGGAGACGACAGCAAGCTTAAACCAGCTCAGCCTAGAGAGCAGAGGGACTTCTTTGCACGTGCACCCCCCCCCCCAAATTGTTGATGTTCTCCCCTCAGGGAAACCAGCAAAGCTGCAACCAAGATAAACTTTGTAGGGATGATCGCTGGGTCCGGAGCACACTCCCCACCCGCAGCCTCAGCCTGCCTGCACGCGTGACCTTGGGGTGCGGAGCACACTCCCCCTCACAGACAAAGCCACAGCTGTCTGAACATCATGCCCTCTGTCTAACCTTTTGTGATCTCAGTAGTCTGCGGTGTCCTGTCTGTGACCTTTGTCTCCTTTGTCATACACTGTGCAAGGGGAAAATGACGCGGTGGAAACAGGTGCCAAAATAACTTTGTACCACACCACGAGCTTGGGACTGGAAGAAGTATAAAGGTCACAGCCCAAAATGTATCTGCCTGGGTTTGCATATTTGTGTCAATAAAGGAGCCTCCACAGAGGTGGCCGGCAGCTTGCATGCAGCTCACCTGCGCGCACCTCACCTGCATTATCAACTCCTGCCTCAGGTCCTTCACTTCAGAAACAACTTTCTCTAGTGAGGATCCCAAAAGCTCTTTCAAGCTGTAAGAGAGCAACTGCTGAACTCCCTGTTCCTTCCTCACTTGGATACACTTCCCCCTGAGCTCTGCCATGGATCATCAGCTGGACCAGCCTTCACCAGCCAAGCACTTTCAATCTGCCCCACTAATGTACAATCGTAGTGACTGAGGACAATGGGAAGTGCCAGATTGGAGGTGGCTGCCCTAGATTACTACACTGGAGAAAACATTGCGCTGACTCCAACCCCAAACGTTTTCTGCCCCCAAGAGCAGCCCAAATAGGGAGAATGGGATGGAGTATAGCTGACAGCTGCAAAGCATCAACCCTGTACTTCCTACCCCATATCAGTTTCACGTAACTCAGCAATAGAAACAAATTTTAAAAATTCCTTCCAGTAGCACCTTAGAGACCAACTAAGTTTGTTATTGGTATGAGCTTTCGTGTGCATGCACGCTTCTTCAGATACACTGAAACAGAAGTCACCAGACCCTTATATATAGTGAGAGGGTGGGGAGGGGTATTACTCAGAAGGGTGGTGGGAATGGGTGAACCCTCCCCACCCTCTCACTATATATAAGGGTCTGGTGACTTCTGTTTCAGTGTATCTGAAGAAGTGTGCATGCACACGAAAGCTCATACCAATAACAAACTTAGTTGGTCTCTAAGGTGCTACTGGAAGGAATTTTTTTAATTTGTAACTCAGCAAGACAGCAAGCCAATAGGAAAAGTGTTCCAGAGCCAAAATCAGCTCCGGAGGCTGCTACCTGCCTGACCCCACTATCCACCCTGCCTCAAACCGACACCCTACCTACCTAGCAAACTAACAAACCCAAATCATTGGATCAGCAAGAATTAAAGTGAGTTTAAGGCACGTGCAAATTCTGCATGCCCACGCTTTGGTCTCTGCTCCTCTTGCATGTGCTTCTGTGGGAAAGTCCTGCTTCCTTAACCCCAGAAGGGTTTCTTGAGAGGCAGGGCACCCATTCTGCATGCAAGAAGGTCCAGGTTCAACCCGTGTCACTGTCTCCATGCAGGACAGGGAACGTGCCTTGCCAGAAATCCCGGAGAGCCAGTCACTGTGTGTGTAGGCAATGCGGAGCTAAATGGACCTGTGGTCTGTTTTAGAAGAAGGCTGCTTCCCGCAAGGCCTCCAACCCGTCGCCCGCCTCCTGGTCTGCTGCAAAGGCAGCCCTGGGGGGACTGACTCACCCAGCTTGGGCACAATGTTCTTGATCATGAAGGCCTCCCAGGACCCCGGGGTGAAGACCTCCTTCCAGGGCTGCAGGATCAGCTTGGCCGAGGAGTCGCTGGGGTGCCATTTCTGGAGGGCGTTGGACAGCTTGTTGCGGATGGGCGAGTAGAGTGGTTCGAGCCGGGTGTGCATTAAGGGCAGCCAGGGGTGGATCCACGAGTGGATGGGGACCGTGTCCGTCAGGGGATTCCAGCTTTCCACCTTGAAGCAAGAGCAGCAGTAAGCCTTATGGGACACCCAGAGGCATTAACTTACTGCTTTTCTATCCCACCTTTTTCTCCAAGGAGCTCAAGGTGGCATATGTAGTTCTTTCCTCCCTCATTTAATCCCTCACACCAATCCTGTGAGGTAGGCAGACTGAGAGGCAGTGACTGGTACAAGGTCACCCAGTGAGCTTTGCAGCCATATAGGGATTGGAACCCGGGTCTCGCAGGCTCTAGTCTGTTCCTCTAACCCAAGGGTAGGCAACCTAAGCCCCGGGGGCCAGATGCGGCCCAATCGCCTTCTCAATCCGGCCCCCGGACGGTCTGGGAATCAGCATGTTTTTACATGAGTAGAGTGTGTCCTTTTATTTAAAATGCATCTCTGGGTTATTTGTGGGGCATAGGAATTCGTTCATATTTTTTTCCCCAAAATATAGTCCGGCCCACCACATGGTCTGAGGGACAGCCCATGGCTGAAAAAGGTTGCCAAAGAAGGACAGAACCTTTTTTATGTATGCAACAACAGCAGCAAGAATACTCATTGCAAAGTATTGGAAGACACAAGATCTACCCACTTTGGAAGAATGGCAGATGAAGGTGATTGAATACATGGAATTGGCGGAAATGACTGGCAGAATCCGAGACCAGGGAGAAGAGTCGGTGAAAGAAGACTGGAAGAAATTTAAAGACTATTTACAGAAATATTGCAAAATTAAGGAATCTTAGAAGGATGTTGGATAGAAACTAAGAGGTTTTTAGCTGTAATGCTTTAAGAGATATGAAAAAGGCTAACAATTGGGTAAAAGTTTAATGGTAAGGATTTGCTGAACTAACAAACTGAACTGGAATACAAAAAGGGAGGTATGAGGAGGTCCGGGAAATAAGTGTAGGGAAGATAGGTTTGGAAAATCAATGTCTTTTTAACTGTTTTATTTTGTATGTTTCCTTTTTATTCTTTATTTTTTTGTTATATTTTAAAAAGTTATTCTTTTTTTTTTGTACTCTGTATTTTTTTTTTTTTGTATTTCTTGAAACTTTAATAAATATCTTTAAAAAAAAAGAAAAAGGTTGCTGACTCCTGCTCTAACCTCTACACCACGCTGCCTTCGCAACAAGGGCTTTCTGGTTAAGCCTCCTGCCCCGCGCAACGAGCCCTGCTGAAACTTCAACGCCCAGTGGGCCTGAGAGGAGCCCCAAGAGCCCCTCCTCTACCTCTTTCTGCAACTTGGGGCAGATCAGCTGGTCCAGAATGTTGTCTAGTATCCAAACAGGAATGATGTGCCCCCAGCTGTCAAGGAAGTCCACCATCGGGATGCAGTTCCGGGGCTGCCACTGTGCTACCACGTTCCGCACGTACGGCATCCAAGTCTCCCACATCAACCTGAAGGATTAAAAATCTCAATTGAGCGGGGCCAGGGGCAGATCCAAACCACACTTTGCTTCTTCAGTAGGAACTAGGGGTGCTTTAAGAGATTTCCTTCTGATGGACAATGCAAATGCAGCTACTGTGTCTTCAAAACCTCCTTTCCCAGCTTCTCTCTTGGGCTTAGGGCAAGTCTGAAATCTCTCTCTCGTGAGGTACACATGCCTGAGCAAGTTTGATGGACTCAAGGGTATATAGGCAGCAAAATGCTTTTCCATGTCATCAGCTTTTGCATTTCAAGCCTACGTGTTACTACAATATAACCAGAGAAAGGAGGTGCATGGGCTGCTCCAAAGCTTTTGCTGGACTCCCGGCTCCCATCAGACCCAGCCTGCAAGGCTGACGTCAGGGATGAAGCAGGTTGTTGCCTATGCTATGGTCACCTTCTGGTTAGATTGCTGCAATGCATGATGTGTGGAGCTGCCTTTGAAGACAATTTGGAAACTGCAGCTGGTGCAGAAGTCAACAGCCAGCTTATTGACCAGCACAGTAAAGATTTAGTAAAAATTGGAATTATTAAGGAGATGCAGGGGGAGAAACTATAATATAAGGGTCCACAAAAGGGGGGGAGGGAAGTCCAAGGGGATAAGTTTATTGTTTTGCTTTTCTTTTAAACTGATGCTTATAAAATTTGAAAAATAAAATTTTATTGACCCAATGCAGGGGTAGTCTGAACCATATAATACCACTTCTGGCACAACTGGCTTGCAATTCACTTCTGGGCTCAATTCAAGGTGCTGGCTTTGACCTATGAAACCTTTCGTGGCTCAGGACCCCAATAACTCAAGCACCACCTCGCCCCCCCCCCCCGCATGAACCAACCTGGAGCCTGGGTTAGTCATCCGAGGCCCTTCTCCATGTGTTCCCTCTGAGGGAAGCATGAAGGGTACCATTCTCAGTGGTAGCTCCCCATTTATGGAATTGTCTCCCCAGTTGCATGGGGGTTGTGTTCCGGGTCATTGTGTGCTTGTATGAAACTGTAATTGAAGCACCCTGTTCCGCCACCGCAGCCCTCCACCCTGCCCTGTTAGTGACATCTTTTATGACATTTTTGGGTCACTTCCAGGTTTGGCACTGGACAACATAGTGGGAGTTGCCTATATCTACAGTATTTTTAAGTGCCAGGCAAAAACACTTTTTTTCCATCAGGCCTTCAGCCTTTGATTTGGAGGGTTTTGATATATGTGGCCTGCTTCAATGCCTTTTTATAATTATGAATGCGTGTTGGCTTAAATTTATGTGCTCCCTTTTTTTGTAAAGCACTTTCAGTTACTTTTGTATCTATAAAAAAGCAACTAATAAGTGCAATATATAATTATTATTAAGAAAATCCTCCCCGCAGCATTAAGGAAGGAATTGGATTAGCCAGGCCTGTTTGACCAGCACAGGGCTGCTCCTCCCTTGGAGAGAAACTTCCCTGCCAAACCTGCACAGACGCTATGTTCACCTGTGAAAAGCATCCGAGGCAAGGTCCTGCCCACCGTGCGACAGCAACTGGTCGTTTTCCAGCAAGCTCTTCCACTTGGCTAGGATATCAGTGCCATACATGTGATCCTGGAGAGGAGAGGAGAGGCAGTGTGTTAGGTGTACAAGGCAATTGAGAGTCAAACGAAAAAAAGGGAGCTCCTATTTGGAGAAAGGGGACAGCTCTTTCCCCAAGGCTGGCATGGCGTATTGGGTTTATTTGGAAGGCTTTCTATTTGGTAAGGTGTTCCTCACCCTGGACGCTTTTGGGGTGCGATGGCCAGAGTGTAGGACTCTTGGCTAGGGAGATGCACCTACAAAGTTCACAGGGTGACCATGCGCCAGTCACTCTCTCTCAGCCTGGCCTACCTCACAGGGTTGTTGTGAGGAGCAGCGGCATAGGTGCCCGGTGCGGAGCGTGCATCCTGCAGCTGGGGGCGGGGTGAGCCACCCATGTTGTGTGGAGCCTCTCCGCAGCCTCCCCTTCAGCTGTAGGGAGGCTGAGGGAGAGGCAGTGGGCAGACGCAAGCCTCACGCTGCCATTTCAGGCAGCGCCAAGCCTACAGGCGCTCAAGCCACTACCTCACTCCCAGGAAATACACGTGGCTCAGGCACGCTGCAGGCCCCGTAGTAATGCCGGCCCCTGCAGTGTGGCACCCAGTGTCAGCCGCATTTCTTTACATTTGTTGACTGAAGTAAAAGCTTTAGTGAGCCCTATTTTAATTTATTTATTTTATATATATATATATAAAAACTCGTATTTTTGTCATTTTGTGTGTGTCCCCCCCCACCTCAGTGATGACACCCGGGGTGGCCCGCACTCACCACACACCCCTTCCTCCGCCGCTGGTTGTGAGGATAAAAAGAATAAAATGTTTGCACTCCCCTGCTAAACTCATTGGAGGGAGAGCGAGAAAAAAAGTAATTAAGAAACCCTTTATAGGCAGAAGGACAATTGGGGTTTGGGAAGCTGAGCTTGGCCAGCAAATGTGGGTGTTTGGCCCCCCAATTGGCATGGCCCTTTTGCTGCTCCTGGTCTCTGAACCCACCCACCTTCAGAGGGTCCCAGTTTTTGAAGTAGTCCTTGACGAGAGGGAAGACAATGGCCACAGCCAGGTCCACGCGGTCAGACATCCGGTACTCTTCATAGTATTTGTCCTGGAGGGTCTCAAAGATCCTGGCGCACTCAGGCAGTGTCAGGGGGTCCTTGCAGTTGGGCTGCATCCGCCTCTCACACTCCTCCACCAGCTCCAGGACCTCGCTGAGGTTGCGCGTGTCTGCCTCCTCCCGCTCCAGGACCTCCGCCATCTTGTCGATCTCATGGGTCAGGTTGACCACCATGTCCCTCTCGTACTGCAGCTGCCGGTCATTCTGGATGATCTCCTGCTCCGTCAGGTCAATGAGGAGCTGCAGGTTGTGCTCCAGTTCAGGCAGACTGAAGGCCTGTGCCTTGGAGTCCTTGCCCAGCGGTGGAGGCAGCTGGGGGTTGTCGTCAGGGATGTTGTGCTTCTGGCTGATCTGGCTGTAGCTGTAATAGACTTTCTGCTCCCGGCCAGTCATGTCAATCACCTTCCAAACAAGCAAACAAACAGAAAACCCCGAACAAGTTACAAGACCACTTTCAACCAACAGCAGGTACTGCTTCATGGTGCCCTGGTGAGCAGAATCTATACAAAGAGGGTAAAACAATACTTTTCAGAGGGCCAATTTGGGCTGCTGGAGTAGTAGGCGACCTTTCAAAGTCCAGTCAATTCAAATTCCAAAGCTTGTGTATTCCAGATGCAAACCTAAGTTTGGTACACAGCCCAACACTTTTTGCCATTTGCAGTGATGGGACCGTCTGCAAGCTCCAAGGGAATGGTTCACAAGGGTCAGGGCATGTCTCTCCACTCCCACTTACCCCAGTGTGACCTTGGGTCCACCCCTGCCCTCTTCTCCTGGGAAACCCAAGGGCTGACTACCATTTATTTCAGAGGACAGGGCAGGACTTAGCCCTAGGGCTCATGAGCCAATAATGAAATTAACCACAGACACCCAATGCCAACCGGCCGTTTTTAAGAGCTGTACTTCTGTATGTCAAGGATTTGGGCTTCTAGGGAGCACGTGGGCTCTTGACTTCCCTTTCCAGTTTAAATCAAGCCAGGCAATTGTTCCAGAATGCAGCAGAGCTCTCTGTTGCTTTTCAAGCATTACATACAGAGGCAGGTTTGGACTTGCCAGCATGAAAGGGCACAAGAGCTAACAGGTCAGAATAGGTCATGCCAGTCATCTGCTTACAACCTCAATCATGGAGGAATATTAAGGAAAAAGACAGCTAACTCTTGAACCTGGGAGAAAAGCTTCCTTGGCTCATCGTGGATGTAGTCATCATCTTCTGTATTTCCCTCAGCAGAGGGACCTGTTACAAGCCAGTCAAAGCTCCCCCTCGCTGAGGACAAAGGTCAGAGAATGAGCCAGGAGGAGAGCGCTCTGAGTAGTTACTAGCCAGGACGGCTCTGCTGTGTCTCCACTGTTGAAGGCAGCAATGCTCCCAAAGACCAGTTTCTGGAAACCGCAGGAGCGAGCGCTCTCATGCTTGGACCTTGCTTGTGGATTTCCCACATGCAGCTGGTTGGCCACTGTCAGAAGATGATGAACTACATGGGGCCTCCTTGGCCTTATCCAGCAGGCTCTTTCTAAGTTTTTCTGAAACCTGCCCCATCTTGCTTTGGACAATCAGCCTCACCTTCACTTGTGCCAGCTCCTTCTGAGGTGCCGACAGTTGCTTCCCAGCCCGGCCTTTCGCTTTCAGTTCCTCCACAGTCTTGTAGGTGTACTTTGGCTTCTTCTTGCCCCCACCTGGGTCCTTCCGCCACTGGCTGAGCTCCTTCTGGAACTCCTGGGATGAAAGAAGAGATGGGAGAAGTGCAAGATGGAGGAGGAAACACTCCACTGGGGACTGCAGAGCACCAAACCCTTTCCTTGGTCTGGGGCTGAGCAGGGAATATTGCCAGTGGACTATGTCCAGGGGAGGGGAGGGGGGTTCACTCTTTTAAAGGTCTGCGCCAACAGGCACCAACCAACCCTAGCTCTGGTCCACAATATGGTCTTCTACAGGACATGCCTGAAAGCAAAAAGCAAGGCTTTAACTCTCTCAGTCCTACCAGCTGCCAACATAAGCTGTTATGTGTACAGAAATGAACTGCCAACCCAGGTTCCAAGAACTGCTTTGTACCCCGTTTAAACGTTTGCCAAGGGAAGAAAGAATCACAGAATTGTAGAGTTGGAAGGGACCCAAAGCATCATCTAGTACAACCCTCTGCAGTGCAGGGATCACAGCTGCTCTCACGCACAGAGCCAGATACAACAGTCAAATGCAGAAGGCAGTTTTTGTTAGGATGTAAACACCATTGTAAGAAATCACTACATTTCTTCCACACAGGTCCCCAAATGTGGCAATGAGGAGAGTTGGGGGAGGGGGAGAAATGAGGAGAAGGAAAGGGGGGGCGGGAATACCTCCTCTGCCTCTTCATCTGAGTCAACAACAGGGAAGTCCTGCAAGGACTGTGTGGTTCGCTCAGAGCCATACGCCCCTATGGCTGCCTTGCCTTTCCTCTGCTTAGCTTCAATAGGGTTGATGATACCTAAGAAAATTCACAGGTGTTAGTGAAGTGAATATAAGAACACAGAACGATCAGAGCTGCCTGGAAATGGAGGCAAAATAGCCCAGCAGCAGCTCTACTATTCCCTGCGCTTGAGCCCTGGTTGGCTCTTCTATTTTCAGAAAGCCTGCCCCCCATATATTTCCCCACCCACATCAAAAAGAGCTGATGGGGTTGCATCTCTTGGTCTTAAAGGGCCAGGCAGTTAATTAGCCCTGTGGCACTCTGGGAAAGGAGTGCTGCTGCTTCCCCTACTGTTCATCCTGGATGAAGTGCAATTTTCCTATCTGGACATTTCATGTTAACCAGAATCTTTGCAAGTAGCCACTGTTTAATGCCTTCCCCAACCTGGTGCCTTCCAGATGTGTTAACTACAAGTCCCATCAGCCTCTGCCAGCACAGCTGACGGTCAGGTTGGCCAAGGCTGGTTTACAATTTCTGTGCCAGTTTTACATACAGATCAAAATTAACTGATAGGCTGATTCTGCTTGAAGGAGAAAGAAAGGCAGATACCAACTTGGTTTTTGTTTTCCTGGGGTCTTCTTAAAAGCCTGTACAACAGATCAAGTGGGGTGCTGGGCCATACCTTGAGCATTCTTTCCAAGGCCCCTTCCAGGCACATAGCCCATTTTTTGAAGAAGTTTCTGCCCAATTCCTTTTGTATGCCTCTCCCAGCTACCAAAGTCCATAAAAGATTTGGTTCCTCCTATGAAGCCCTTCTGGCTCGGTTTGAAATTGCCACCCTGTTAAAACACACACAAAAAGATGAATTAAATATCATAGTTCATGGGTAGGCAAACTAAGGCCCAGGGGCTGGATCTGGCCCAATCGCCTTCTAAATCCGGCCGGCGGACGGTCGAAGAATCAGCGTGTTTTTACATGAGTAGAATGTGTCCTTTTATTTAAAATGCATCTCTGGGTTATTTGTGGGGCCTGCCTGGTGTTTTTACATGAGTAGAATGTGTCCTTTTATTTAAAATGCATCTCTGGGTTATTTGTGGGGCCTGCCTGGTGTTTTTACATGAGTAGAATGTGTGTTTTTATTTAAAATGCATCTCTGGGTTATTTGTGGGGCATAGGAATTCATTCATATTTCTCCCCCAAAAAATAAATCTGCCCCCCCCCAAGGTCTGAGGGACAGTGGACCAGCCCCCTGCTGAAAAAGTTTGCTGACCCCTGTCCTAGTTCATTCAGTGCCTGGCTCTACTGACAGCTCTATTACTAAAGCATTGGTGTGTCTCAGTCCAGACATTTACTTGGGGTGTTTATAGTTGAGACTGTGCACATTCCACACCAACAAAATCCAGATTGTGTGGTTCTTCCTGTTGTGGTTAGTGCTTCCTGAGGTTCTTTAAGACACTCCAGAACCACAATTAAAATGCAGTGATTTATGGCCCAATTAACTAAGAACTCACTGTCTTTAACTTCTTTGGCACAAACTCTTTGGGGATTTCTTCCTGCTTCAGAGGCTTCTCATCCTCATCAGAATCTTCATCTGTTATCTCATCAGCTGCTGGCTTCTTTAGCCCAGCACTGATAAAGTTAACAGGCGCCGAGTAATCTTTAGACCTGGGTTAAGAAAAAATACATTTATTCAGAGATGTTTCTGTAGTCTACAGATATGCATTTAGACATGAGATAGCTTTTTCCTGATTAAATTCACTGTTGAGAGACATCTATGCTACTTGTCAAGTTAATATCGCAAAATCAGAAGCTAACATATACAATCAAGGGATGTATTAATCAAGGGTTTGGAAACAGGGGTGCAGAACCTTCAAGAACAGCCTCACAAATCACAACATTCCCGATCACTTCCTCGGGGGGCCAGTACCGTTTGCCCCCAAAGCTGGGCCTCTCATCATCAGAATCGTGCTCAGCCCACATGCCATAGGTGGCCTCCTCCTTGGTCTGCCAGTGGCGCTGCCGGTTGGGATTGAACTCATTCTGAAGGTCCCAGTCGGTGATCTCAAATTTCTCCATCTCCACATCGTCATCAGCAGCAGCGTCATTTTTGCCGTACAAATGGGACAGCGACATGATGCCTTGTTGGAGTAAGAAACTGGCATAGGTATGGGGAGAGGAAGCAGAAGATGAAGAAATAACCCAGGAAGCTCCCTGTGCACACTCCCCAACCCTTCAACCTGCTCCCTGACCTAGCTCTTTCCCTCTGGCCATTCCTTTCCCCACTCCGTGTCTATATGTGATCCCCTGCCTGCCCCTCATCTCCCAAAATACTGTCTTCTGGCACACACACAAGCCACCTTGCCTCTACTCCTAAACCTGGCCCCAGGTTCCTCTACAATCTTAACCTTTGCTGCTGCCCACTCTCCCTCCTGGTTATTCCTACAATTACCCCAATATAAAATGATTCAGGGTATGTGTGCCTCCCCGATTTTGGGACTTTTTAATTAAGAGAAAAGGTGAGCAAGAGGTATGACAAGATAGGAGTAAGTGAATAGAGGCTCTTCTCCCTCTCATAGCACATGACATTGGTGTTAAGAGTGTCAGATGAGGGCCTGGGAGATCAGGGTTTGAATTCCCCAACTAGCCATAAAGCTCACTGGGTGACCTTGGGGGAGTCACTGCCTCAGCTTACCTCACAGGGCTGTTGTGGGGACCCAGGAGGGGGAGAATCAGCTTGAGCTCTTGAAAGAAAAGGTGGTGCCTAAATGCAACAAAGAAATATAATAATGATGACAAGTGAGGTGCGCATTGGAAGATTCAGGACAGACCCAAGGAAGCACATTGTTAAGTGACGGAACTCCCTCCCGCAGGAGGCAGCGGTGGCTATTAACTCGCAGGGCCTCCGGAGAGGACTGGGCAAACTCACAGAGGGTGGTAAGGCTAGCGATGGTGACCAGGCAGGTTCTTTTTATCATATGTGCTGTCTTGTAGTAAGGTTGAAGCTTACTGGGATACAATATATAATGAACTGAAAAAGATGTTTAAAATGACAAACTTGTAAAAAACCCCCAGAAGCCTTCCTTTTGGGAATTATAGGGACAGAACTACCCAAACCCAAACTGTATAGAAATTTATCCATGTATGAGACTACAGCGGCAAGAATGTTGCTTGCCCAAAAATGGAAAGTCCCAGCAAAAGAAGAATGGATACAAAAACTTATGGAATATGCAGAAATAGAGAAACTTACCAGAAAAATAAATCAAAATAACAAACTTTTTATAAAACAATAGAAATGGTTTATTGAATATTTATTAAATATTTACAAACAAACTAAACAGATAAGAACATTGGCAGGATTACTGTAATAACCCGCAGTTTTAAGAGAGTATGTATTTAAAGTAGATGAATAAATGAGTAAATTAATTTGGAATATGCAGAAAACATTAAAAATAAATTTAAGGAAAATCAAGAGGGGGAAGGAAGTCGAGTTTTGAAATGTTAAAATGATTGCAAAATTATTGAAGTGTATAAAACTGAAAATCAATAAAAGGGGATGGCGACCAGGCAGAGTGGCTCTGGCCGGGCTCGAGGGGCCTCATCCGGCTGCCTCCCGGAGCCGGGGCCGCAGCTGAGCCTCCCTCCGCAGCACCACCGGGGCGGCGCTCCTCGCGGAGCCTCCAGGCCCAGCGGCAGTCTGCCCGGGACTCCTCGGGAGGCGCCGCGCCTGCTGGGCCCCTCCCGCTCCGGGCCCCCCGCCTCACTCACCGCCTCGCCCGCCCGTCGCCCGAGGCAAAGGAGACGCGCATGCGCAACCGGCCGCTTCCGCCGGAACCAGGAACCATAGAGGCGGAAGGAAGGGCGCCGGAGGGAAAAGGCCCCTCCTTCCCTCGGACTCGGTGGTCCCGGCGGAGGGCGGAGCCCTCTCGGAAGGAAGGAAGGTCGGGGGAGAGGATGCCCTGACCATGGGCAGAGTGCCCTTCCTTCCAGACTGTGTGTGCCCCGCCCGCTCCCCAATTCGGAGCCCGCTTTTGTTTGGCTCTTGGCGGCGAGACTTTTGCAGCCCGCATTCACACGTGGCGTGGGCAACACGCGGGTTCCAGAGGCGTGTCCGGGAGGGAAGTCTTTGCCAAAGCAGCCACGGCTCCAGCTGGAGGAGCAGGCAAGCGGCCCCCGACCCCTACACGGAGCCCCTTGTGGGCTTTTGATGCTTCTTACTTGCCCGGCTTGTGGATTTAGAATAATTTATAAATGAGCCAGTAGATTTTGGTTTATTTGGCCAGGTTTATAATCCTCCTTTCAACAACACTTTGTAGATTTTTCTTTTTACAATCAAGAGGTATATAAATTTTATGAAATAAACACCAGAAAGTTTCCTAGCTAATAATTGCTGCCAAATGTGTTCATAGAATTATATAATTGTAGAGTTGGAAGTGTTCCCAAGGGTCATAGTTAAGAGAGTCCCTGACAGATGACCCTCCAGCCTCTGCCTAAAAATGTTCCTTGAGGGAGAGTCCACCCCTTCCAGCTTGACTATGTACTCAGGAAGAGCAACTGCTCTTCCTGAAGATCTAGACAGGTTCTAGGTTGCACACACATTTTTCTTCTATTATGCTATCTTCACACAGGGATATTGTCTTTGGGAATCCACACTATGGAAAATGGGGTGGGGGTGGAGAGAGAGGCAGGCAGGCAGGGCAGTGATTTGACAAATTGTCTCCAATAGATTTCCACTTCTCAGTGGATGTGTTACTGGAAACTGGTGGGGGAAAACAAACAGCCTGCATTGCTTCAAGAGCATTGCCGGCCAAAAGACATCAGAGTGGCCACTGCCATTTCTTTCCATAAAGGACTTGGACTAATGGGGGGGCTGACAAACAGGGGAAAGTTGTATTGTAAGGACATTTTCTCTCTTTTTGACCTCCAGCCCTTGTGCTTAAAAGTTAAAGATATGTGTAAAAGCAGCAAGAATAGTCTCAAAATTACATGATTGCCTCGAGATATCCAACTAATATAGGACTGGTAAATAGTATTTTCTATGTATTTTGTGTTATAAAGTAGGAATGTTGAATAACTATGTCTGCTAATTATGTATTACTCCCACAGAGGGGGGACCCAATTTTGTGTATAATTGTTATTATGTTTAATGTATAGTGCATACCTATGAACAGTAGAAGTGGGACGTTGGTGGCGCTGTGGTCTCAACCACCGAGCCTCTTGGGCTTGCCGATTGGAAGGTCAGCAGTTCGAATCCCCGTGATGGAGTGAGCTCCCATTGCTCTGTCCCAGCCGCTGCCAACCTAGCAGTTCGAAAGCATGCCAGTGCAGGTAGATAAATAGGTACCGCTCCGGCGGGAAGGTTAATGGCGTTTCTGTGCGTTCCTCTGGTTCGCCAGAAGTGGCTTTGTCATGCTGGCTACATGACCTGGAAAAACTGTCTGTGGACAAACATCAGCTCCCTCGGCCTATAGAGATGAGCGCGCAACCCCAGAGTCATCCGCGACTGGACCTAACGGTCAGGGGTCCTTTAGCTTTGCCTTTTTATGAACAGTAGAAGGGTTTGGCTTACACCCCAATGGCATGGAGGATTCTCATGCACTTTATGCTTTCTAATAGATCAGGCTATTGTGTAGTTCAATATTTAGATTAGATCAATTTATGACCACATTTCCTCATCCCACCTCTTCAGTGTGCAAACCTCCTCTACCCATTTTTTAATTGTTTTAATTTGTTTTACCATGGAGAAGCTTCAGGATCCAGGAAAGACCAGATAACAGGAAGGGTATATGTTTTGATTTAGCAGGAATGATCCCATATAGAGTTAAATTGACTAATTTAGACAACTGCACTTTTTAGAATGGTTTTTAACAGGTTGGTTTGAAGGGTTGAGAACCATGGGGCTAGGGGGCTCTGCTAGGGGCGCCACGTAAGATGGCCAACAATACCATCTCTCCAGCTCCCACGAGGTAATTTAGAGGCTGAGATGGGAGTAATCAGCCTCCCAAATACTTCCCGGTGGAAGGGAAGATGCAGTCTCATCCGCAACTGCCCACAAACCACCCCCGAGTTCGTAACGAAGGAGGGGGTGGGAGCACTGGATGGAAAGCCCTCGAGGGAGTTCGGATCTCCTGGACGCTGTCTCTATGAGCGCTTCAAGTTTCATTTCTTAAGATAAAGATTGGATTTAAGAATTTTGGACATGCTTCGGGCGAAGAAAGGGTAGTTAATCTGCCAACTACAGCCACTGAGGTGTCAAGAAGGACGGGAGGAAGAAAGATAACATCAAAGAATAACATCTAAACCGGTATGTTGCAACGGAACGGAAAGGGGGGGGATAAAACTTTTTCTTTTTCTACTATGATAATACCTAACAAGCCCCTCCCCCCCGAAGAACCGTCTACATTTACTTATAGCAAGTGAGATCGGAAAATATAAACTGTGTGGAAATAATAATATTAACTAAAGCCTTTGTTCTTTGAAATACTTGGAAGAAGATAAAAGACTCTTCTATGACGCACCTTTAATCAGGATCCGCCATTATGAGACAGACTGAGTTGCAGAGATTAATAGTCATAGGGAGAGGCGAGCTCTTACTTTGTTATTATATCTGTATTTCAAGTCCGATTTGGCAAACCTCCTCTGGAAAGACTAATGTTTGGTGCAACCTGTCTGAGAAAATTAATGAGCAAACGCCTAGATTTTATTTCATCGGAATTGAGAGAAGATGGCGTCTGCCACCAGAGAAGGACTTTTGGATTGATTCGACATAAACACCAGCATGTGAGGGCATACAGTGGTGCCTCGCAAGACGAAATTAATTCGTTCCGCGAGTTTTTTCGTCTAGCGAATTTTTCGTCTTGCGAAGCACGAAATCCCATAGGAATGCATTGAAATTCAATTAATGCGTTCCTATGGTCAAAAAAAGTCCAAACAAAGCCAAATTTGGTACAACAAGAGTTTATTAAGTGCTCTTTAAAATCACACATACTGTAAAGAGCATTTCAAAAATTGAAGGAACAATAAATTAAGTTTCTAAACATGACAGAAAAAATTTAAAAATCAACAAAGTGTACAGTACATTTTCTAAGACTCTGGGGGACAACTCGAAGAAGGTTCCTCTTCCACTCTTTGCTTCTTGCTGAAGAACCTGTCCATGGTCTGCTGCTTCATCCGCCTTTTCAGCACCTCCCTGAAAGGCGACATGACCCTCGTATCAAAAGTGTTCGTAAGGTCATGTGCCATGTGCTTGTCAGGGTGGTGCCGCTGTGCAAAAGCCTGCACATCCTTCCACTTCAGGCAAATGTCCCTCAGTTCTTTGGAGGACAGCCGTTCCTCAGTTGCTTCCTCCACTTCCAGCGAGGCCTGCTCCTGCGCAGCCTCTGCCTGCAGTTTGACCAGCTCCTGGGTGGTCAGCTCGTGGTCGTGCTCCTCCACCAGCTCGCTGATGTCCTCCTCTGTGACCTCCAGGCCCATGGTCCTCCCCAAGGCAACAATGTCCTGCACCACTGTTGACTCTGGTGCATCAGAGTCACTTGGTGCCACACAGTCCGGCCACAGGCTGCGCCAAGCGCAATTCAAATTTCTCTGGCTGATCCCGTTCCAGGCCGTGGTGATCATCTTCAAGTAGGTGACGATGTAGAAGTGGTCCTTCCAGAATTCCCGCAGGGTGATGGTGGTGCAATCAGTCACCTCGAAGCATCGCCTGAAAAGCTCCTTGGTGTAGAGTTTTTTGAAATTGGCGATGACCTGCTGATCCATCGGCTGGAGCAGTGGCGTGGTGTTAGGCGGCAGGAACATGATGCTGATGAAGCTGAACTCCTCCAACAAGTCCTCCTCAAGGCCTTTAGGATGAGCAGGAGCATTGTCCATCAGAAGCAAAGCCTTCAGCGGCAGGTCGTTGTCCAGCAGGTACTGTTTGACAGCAGGGCCAAAAGCAAGATTGACCCAGTCCACAAACAGCACACGTGTGACCCAAGCCTTACTGTTGGATCGCCACATGACACTCAGCTGCTCCTTGTCAACCTTGTATTTCTTGAAGGCCCGTGGGTTCTCTGAGTGGTACACCAGCAGGGGCTTGATCTTCAGGTCGCCGCTTGCGTTGGCACAAAAGAGCAGGGTCAGACGGTCCTTCATGGGCTTGTGGGCAACTTGGCCTCCTCCTGTGTGATGCAAGTCCTTTTGGGCATCCTCTTCCAAAACAGCCCAGTCTCCTCGCAGTTGAAGACCTGCTGTGGAACGTAGCCCTCCATCTTCACAACCTCCAGGAACTCCGCTGCAAAGTCTTCAGCCGCAGAAACATCAGAACTGGCAGCCTCTCCATGCCTGACCACGCTGTGGATTCCAGATCTTGTCTTGAACCGGTCAAACCAGCCTCTGCTTGCCTTGAAGACTTCTGGCTCGCCTGAGGTTCCTGGCTGTTCCCGGACGAGGTCTGCGTGCAAGGCCTTGGCCTTCTCACAAATGACGGCCTCAGTCACTGTGTCCCCTGCACGCTGCTTCTCTTCTAACCAGATGAGCAGCAACTTCTCCACCTTCTCCAGAACAGCTGGGCGGTTCTTCACGATCCTGGTGACTCCCTTGGCTGCATCAGTCGCAAGGATCTTCTCCCTCATCTTCAGGATGGTCCCGATGGTCGATGGATTCCTCCCGTACTCCCTGGCGAGGTCTGTCACACGCATTCCACCGTCGTGCTTCCGGATGATCTCCTTCTTCATTTCCAGCGTAACTTTCTCCTTCTTCCCCTCGCCGGCCTCTGCAGCAGCAGTCTTCTTGGGTCCCATGGCAGCACAGCTCCTACCTGCTCAAACCAAAAAAAATAATAATCAGTGCTTCACATCCAAAAAATTCAAAAGCACCCAGCCACCCACCACACAGAAATTCAAACCCAGAATTTTTTTTTTTAAAAAAACAGAGTGGCCCAATGGTCACAAAAATTCAGAAAAATGCAGAAAAAAAAACACACAAGCTTCCAGATTCTTGCAAACCCCTCCCCAACACCAAGTCCTTGAATTCCAAACACCCCAACCCAAAATCCAAAAAACCCCCAAAAAAGTTTTAAAAGTTTAACTTACCAAATGGCTGCAAAAGAAGTTTTGGAAAAGCTTCAAAAATCACCAAAGTCTTCAAAAACCTCAAAAAAGGCTACCACACCGCGTGCTATGAGTTGCTCCTTGAAGTCAAGTCACAACTGCACCTCTTCAAGCAATGCACCCTGGGTATTAACGGTTTTATGAAAAAGGAAACAAACTTGCAAGACGTTTTCGACTTGCGAAGCAAGCCCATAGGGAAATTCGTCTTGCGAAGCACCTAAAAAAACGAAAAACCCTTTCGTCTAGCGAGTTTTTCGTCTTGCGAGGCATTCGTCTTGCGGGGCACCACTGTACTGCAAATAAAAGACTTACCAGCTGAAGGGGAAAAAAGGAGAGTCACACAGAGTTCACACAGAAGCATATTATTGCTCATTTCAGCTCGCCTGTGGAAACAACTCAGAGGCTATGAAAGAAAGGAGGATAACAGCAGGAACATTTAAAGAAGGAACTATTGGACACTCAAAGCAGTAGAAACATAAGATGATTGGACCCCGCTGAACTTAAAGCATGGGAAGCCCCAACAAAAATTTATAATTTAGCAAAATATTTGGACTTTATGATTTGTATTTGCATAATTTGGAATATTTAATGTGATTTGATTGGATTGTTAAAATGGAAAACTTAATAAAAATTATTATTAAAAAAAAAGAGAACCATGGGGCTATATAAATTCTAACTGGGCTCAGTTCTAATTGGACAAGTGTATCCCAAGTGCAATTAGCTTTCTTTGGTTCCTTTAATAGCAATTGTGCAACACACCGCTTGAGCCCAGGACCAAAGCCAAAGTATAACCCCATGGATGGTCCAGATGGGGCATTTCTCTCCAGGGAATGTTGCCACCTTGCTACATGAGATACTCCTTAAGGTCCATCACTGCAAGCCCTAACCAGGGATGCATTATGACGGGTTGTTGCTGTGAGTATGCTTAACGTACAAGGGCCAGGAGGCTAACTTTGACATCTGAGAACACAAAAAAGGCAGAAACAAAACAAACTGCATTTTCAATCATTTTTGGACCTTCCTGCTGAGTGAAAAGAATAGAACACTACTGAGAAAATGTTTCACCCAAGTAATTGAGTAAAAGAACGCAATGTGTTTTGTGTTTTGAATGTAATATCCCATGTCCACCTATGCGCACTGCTTCACTTGTAAATAGCCTTAAGAGGTCTGACATGCAAGTTTCTTCAGGTTAACACAAAAGCATCCATTTACAAAACATGGTTATTATTTGTGGGGCAATTTTTTTTAGTACAAATTATACCCCCGGGGGGGGGGTTGTTATAGGAATTCAAAGGTCTCACATATATATAAATGAAATGTTTATAAATGTACAAGGCAAACAGATGCGTAAGTATATAAACCATGTTTCTGAAATACTACAGGAGAGCAATCCTGAAGCCATTTTGACTCTTCCAGTGACCTCAAATATTCTCTGCAGTGAGGAAGGAAATGGGAAAAATCTTCCCATTGTCTCTTTGCTCACAAATCCTGTCTTAAGAGTGTATTGTGCATGAATAGGGTGTATTGTGCATGAATAGGGTGAGCCTGTGGCATGGATTCAGGAACTAAGTATTTAGCATCTCAAAAGGAATGGCCAGGCTGCCCAGATAAACCAATCAAGTGACCATTATCAGTATCCTGCTAGACAGGATTTCTGCTGTAGACCACCCTTTCTGTGATGAATGTATGATGTTTGGGGGGGGGGTCTTGAGCTACAGGGTAAAATGGTAAAGGTACCCCTGCCCGTACGGGCCAGTCGTGTCCGACTCTAGGGTTGTGCGCTCATCTCACTTAAGAGGCCGGGAGCCAGCGCTGTCCGAAGACACTTCCGGGTCAATGGCCAGCGTGACGAAGCTGCTCTGGCGAGCCAGCACCAGCGCAACACACGGAAACGCCGTTTACCTTCCCGCTATAAAGCGGTCCCTATTTATCTACTTGCACTTAGGGGTGCTTTCGAACTGCTAGGTGGGCAGGAGCTGGGACCGAAAGACGGGCGCTCACCCCGCCGCAGGGATTCGAACCGCCGACCATACGATCGGCAAGTCCTAAGCACTGAGGTTTTACCCACAGCGCCACCCCTACAGGGTAGGCAATTGCAAAAGTCTATATAAGAGCTGACCTTGAGCCAGACATCCTGGAGAGTGAAATCAAATGGGCCTTAGAAAGCACTGCTAATAACAAGGCCAGTGGAAGTGATGGTATTCCAGCTGAACTATTTAAAATTTTAAAAGATGATGCTGTTAAGGTGCTACACTCAATATGCCAGCAAGTTTGGAAAACTCAGCAGTGGCCAGAGGATTGGAGAAGATCAGTCTACATCCCAATCCCAAAGAAGGGCAGTGCCAAAGAATGCTCCAACTACCGCACAATTGCACTCATTTCACACGCTAGAAAGGTTATGCTTAAAATTCTAGAAGGAAGGCTCAAGCAGTATGTGGACTGAGAACTCCCAGAAGTGCAAGCTGGATTTAGAAGAGGCAGAGGAACCAGAGACCAAATTGCAAACATGCGCTGGATTATGGAGAAAGCTAGAGAGTTCCAGAAAGACATCTACTTCTGCTTCATTGACTATGCAAAAGCCTTTGACTGTGTCAACCACAGCAAACTATGGCAAGTTCTTAAAGAAATGGGAGTGCCTGATCACCTCATCTGTCTCCTGAGAAATCTCTATGTGGGACAAGAAGCTACAGTTAGAACTGGATATGGAACAACTGATTGGTTCAAAATTGGGAAAAGCGTACGACAACGCTGTATATTGTCTCCCTGCTTATTTAACTTATATGCCAGAAGAAATAGCAACAACCTCAGATATGCAGATGACACAACCTTGATGGCAGAAAGTGAGGAGGAATTAAAGAACCTTTTATTGAGGGAGCGCAAAATATGGTCTGAAGCTCAACATCAAAAAACGAAGGTCATGGCCACTGGGCCCATCACCTCCTAGCAAATAGAAGGGGAAGAAATGGAGGCAGTGAGAGATTTTACTTTCTTGGACTCCATGATCACTGCAGATGGTGACAGCAGCCACGAAATTAAAAGACGCCTGCTTCTGGGGAGAAAAGCAATGACAAACCTAGACAGCATCTTAAAAAGTAGAGACATCACCTTGCCAACAAAGGTCCGTATAGTAAAAGCTATGGTTTTCCCAGTAGTGATGTATGGAAGTGAGAGCTGGACCATAAAGAAGGCTGATCGCCGAAGAATTGGTGCTTTTGAATTATGGTGCTGGAGGAGACTCTTGAGAGTCCCATGGACTGCAAGAAGATCAAACGTATCCATTCTTAAGGAAATCAGCCCTGACTGCTCACTGGAAGGACAGATTGTGAAGCTGAGGCTCCAATACTTTGGCCACCTCGTGAGAAGAGAAGACTCCCTGGAAAAGACCCTGATGTTGGGAAAGATGAAGGGCGCAAGGAGAAGGGGACGACGGAGGACGAGATGGCTGGACAGTGTTCTCGAAGCTACCAGCATGAGTTTGACCAAACTTCGGGAGGCAGTGGAAGACAGAAGTGCCTGGTGTGCTCTGGTCCATGGGGTCATGAAGAGTCGGACACGACTAAACAACTAAACAATAACAATATAAGAGCTTGTGCACCATTGTTCTGGGTTCCTCTCCTTCCTCCCTGTGGGGGGGGGGATGGAGGACCCTGTTGCAACAGTTTAATAAAGGTCATGTTCACTAACTGCTTTGCTTCTCAATATTCTCGTACCAATAGAGAACCTACATAAGGACTCTCTCTGTATGGGCTCTTGGATACCCCATAAGGGATAAAGGAGCAGAAATTTTCTTATAACAAGAGGGACAACATTTCCCCAGCCCTACCCAAAATGAAGAGTTGCTGATGACCCCCTTGGAGGGAACCACTCCTGGAGCCCCCATCTGAGCCAAGACTAGAGCCTCCTCCGTGAGAAAGTGGGACCCCCACTCAAATACCTCTGCCCAGCCAGACCCTCTGGCTCACAGTCCCCCCCCCCGCCCCCCTGCACAGCAGCCTCCCTCTCAATGCTCCGCTGGGCCTCCGTGCCAATAACCAAGCCGGCTCCAAATGGCTTCTGGTAGCTTTTGAGCATGATCAAATATTAATCTCACAAAATGGAGGGGGGAAGAACAGGGGGAACACGACGGCAGAGCCATCAAGGATTCATGCGCCCACTGCCAGCACATGGCAGCACATCCATTACGGCAGCCAGGCGCTCACCTCGGTCTGGGAAGTTCATTTTGTGGCTGGCTGGCTTGCTAGCTGCTCCTTGCTCTCCCAAAACACCCAGGCGGGAGAGAGATTCTCTGTGGTGGGGAGGGAGGGAGGGAAGAAGGACAAGGTCAGTCAGATGCTGAGCAGGGAGGTGGGGGGGGGCTTGGAGCCACAAGGAGCAAGAGATTCCCCTTCTCGGCAGCATGGGTGCTGTTTCTCAGCAGCGGTCAGCTGGGCTCCTCCTCCACCCACCCCAAGACACGCAGTTATGACACAAGCCCACACAAAAGCGGGTTGCATCTGCAACACTAATCCGAGTGGGCAATGCTGGCTCCAGAGCACCTTGAGTGGACCTCTTAACCTGGAAGAGGCAGGACATACAAATGGATCATTATCTTTGGCAGCACCTGAGCTTCTTCTGTGCAAAGTAGAAAGGGCAGCACTCTCAGGGCAAGGGGCCCTCGGCTGCTTTGGGCCCCTAACAAATGGCCCTCCTGACCACCCTAGTCTGGAGCCCTCTCCCTCCCTCTCTCTCTGCCCCACTCTCCTTGTGTCTGCAAGTAAGAAGAGTTCAAAGTAACCAGGAAAGTCACCAAGTCCTGCTATAGCTTTATAGACATGTCCCTGCCTATCATTCAGTTCTGTGCCGCACTTGTGCCTACAGAGACAGTCACACATTTTCTCTTTTCTACAAACATGGGGGGGGGGTTAATTTCAATATGATGACAACAGGAACAGTCTTCTATGTAAAGAGTGGCTTTGTGGTTACAGCACTTGAATACTGTATCTGAACCATTCTTAGCTCAGGTGAAATAAAGGAAGGCAACATGTGAAGGAGACAGCCTCATATATTTATTAAAGAATTAATAAATAAATCTATTTTATTTTTGTAAATTACAAATGAGATAATTAAAAGGAGGCAAATTTGAGATTGTTGCCTAGAAGACAAAAGCGCTGTAACGAGGTTATATTAATGGAGCTATCTGAGGTCTGCAAATTAGAGAACAAAAATTACAAGACACTTTTAAAAGGTCCCCAGTAGACCACTATAAAATCTTCTCCAATATACTTTGTGGTTCTCTTTTATTTCCACAGATTTCACCCTTTTACCACAGGGAGTGTTCAAGCAAGGGAGTCAGAATTGTCCAAACCTGGCAAATAAATGCACACACACATACATACACACACACACAAAAAGTGTTTCACAGAGAGCACTTGATTTGGCAATATCAGTAGCAAGCAATATGCTTGGATAACGGAGCTCCACTGTTGCTGGTTGCAAATTTTCTCCTCCTCAGAGCAACGGGAAGCAATTTGCATCTAAAGAAGGCAAAGAGGAAGGCAGAAAAAAGTTACTCCTGGAACTCAATGCCAAACTATTGATATTTATTATATTAATGCCAGTGCTGCCACCCAAAATATATAAGTTTAGGATTACAAGGCAAAGCTTTCAGACATATCCCCCCACTCCTAATTTTTATAAACTAAGGGAAGCTGAGAATTGAGAGAAATAAGTTCTACTACCCTGGCAAGAAGATCTGCTCACCTTCTCAAATACGTACCTGGAAATCACTAGCTTTGTCAGTGAAAAGCAGTAGTATTTTGTGCACCCTGCAAAAAGACACAAGACAGAAAAAATGGCATATTATTTGTGCTCTTTTTACACTGGGAACTCTGCCTTTCTAAACTTGGCCAAGGAGGAGCAAAGTTAGTCTGCCAAAATATTAAATCAACCCTCTATATATCATGTGCTGCAGAATTGATATCTCAATTAGAAAAAGTCAAAGCTGCCTAAAAATGTGTAGAATTATACATTTCACCATGATGGAGCTTTTTTTCTTTTCTGTTTACAAATATGTGTAATTAGAAGAGAATGAAGGGAGAATCTCCATGGGAAGAACATTTCAGAATCCCAGATGATCTCCTAAACATGGCTGCAATTCAGTTCCAAAGTGCAGAACCGCGAGATCAAGGCAAGGGGAAGAGGACATTTGCAGTTTCTCTTCAGTAGCTGGCCTGGGAGGGAGGGAGGGAGGGTCCAAAACATTCCTGGGTCTTGGGGGGGGGACACAAGCATAGAGGCAACAGAGAATAGAGCGGAAGAGATGAAGAAAGGTGACTGGGAAAGGGGAACTCACCTGGAGGTGTCCTTTCAGATTGGCAGGCGTTTTAAAATCCCCATTAAGAACCTGTGCAAAGAGCAAAAGGTCAGGTGAGGCCCCTGCCCGCCTAATATTTCCACACCTCTGATTTCATATTCAACTCTCACGGAGTCCACCTCCACTCTGAATGCTGCTCTTTGGCCACGGCATGAGTGATTACTGCTGCAGAATATCTCTGCGCAGTTGGGAAGCTGGCTATCCTCAATAATGCTGGCCCATTCTGGATTCTAGTCAATATTATGCAATGCAATGACTGACTGCAATTAGGACAATAAAGGCTGCAAATCACAGAATGGAAAGGAAGTGAACTGGAGAAATGGGGAAAGTGGGAAGAGGCTCTTCTTGACCTCTAGGAAGACACCTTTGGCTGCTCAGAGGAACACAGAAGAGCTCAGATAGAGAACAATATCTTCTAGCTTTGAGAAATGGGGGCCCTTCGGCCACTAGGATGCTAGGAATGAGAGACAAGCACTTCCCAATTCTGCCCAACTTAACACAACTGGAATGTTTAAAATATCAAGGCTACCAGATCAGCTTGTATTGCAGGGAGCTTAAACCCCACACCCCACAACTCTTTAATGTACTTTCATGGGGGGGGGGGGGAGAGTGCTCCATTCTTGGTAGCCATGGGGATTAACCCTTTCCCTGATCTAGACTGTCTCTGAAAGTACAGTGGTGCCTCGCAAGACGAAATTAATCTGTTCCGCGAGTCTCTTCGTCTTGCGGTTTTTTCGTCTTGCGAAGCACGGCTATTAGCGGCTTAGCGGCTATTAGCGGCTTAGCGGCTATTAACGGCTTAGCGGCTTTAAGAAAAAGGAAACAAACTCGCAAGAACTCGCAAGACGTTTCATCTTGCGAAGCAAGCCCATAGGGAAATTCGTCTTGCGGAACGACTCAAAAAACGCAAAACCCTTTCATCTAGCGAGTTTTTCGTCTTGCGAGTTTTTCGTCTTGCGGGGCACCACTGTACTGGCATGCGTTTTTACCACTGCAGGGGCGGGCTCTTTGGATCCTTCTGGGGTATGAATCAGATCAGCGTAGCTGCTCTGATCACATTCAGAAAACCTTTCCCTGCCGCAGCAACTGCATAATTACTTATTTATTTAAACAGGAGATCTGATCACAAATCTTCACCAGTACATTATCTTACAGCCCTGAGGAGAGTAAGAACTTTTGCTGCCTTTCTTGATATTGTACTAGTTGTTTCCCTTTCCTTGAACAATGAAGGCTTCGTGCTATTTTTTTAAAAAAAATCACGTTCTCGAGCAGAATGCATTGTCACTGAACTGCTGCACCATAAACACAAACTTTAGTAATGCTAAAAGCCAGACAAGTTGATCTGCTACAGGATCTTTTATCACATGGCATAGATCTGGTGGAAACCACACAACCCAGCTAGCGTCACCTGAAGGATGACAGGCTTAGTGGCACTCACCCTGTGTGTGTTGTTGATCACCAGAGGGTCTGGATGCCCATAGTTGGGTGGATTTGCATAGGGGTCATAGCCCAGCCTGGCCAGCATGGGAGCAATCTGAGCCATGTCCTGCAGCACATCTGCCGGGATGTGCCCCAGCCACTTCGTCAAGGCCTCCGTGTTCACGGGCTTGATCACCTGGTCCGTGGATCGCTCAATCCTGCACAATAGCAAGAAAACAGTAAGAACCGGCTAGAGCAGAGAGGCAAGGGGTGGCACCTGCTCACGGTCTCTCTTGATTTCTTCAACCTTCCACAGTCCCTAGTTTTCGCTGTGAGGCCCTTAATTGGCTTCTCTTTACTGTAGCCATTGCTAAATGACCGTAGAAGGCCACAGCAATTGAGCCAGGACAAAATTCAGTGTACAAACAGAGGTTTAAGCCTAGTGCTCAGTTTAAGCTTTAAATGCAGTTCATCGCTTCAATTTAAAAGTTTTTAGCATAGGTTTGTTGTTGTTTAGTCGTTTAGTCGTGTCCAACTCTTCGTGACCCCACGGACCAGAGAACACCAGGCACTTCTGTCTTCCAGCATAGGTTTAGGCAAGAGCTAATTTTAACAAACCAGGACGAGGGTGGCACTGTGGGACAGAGCCTAGGGCTTGCCGATCAGAAGGTTGGCGGTTCGAATCCCCGCGACGGGGTGAGCTCCCGTTGCTCTGTCCCAGCTCCTGCCAACCTAGCAGTTCGAAAGCACATCAAAGTGCAAGTAGATAAATAGGTACCGCTCCGGCAGGAAGGTAAACAGCGTTTCCGTGCGCTGCTCTGGTTCACCAGAAGCGGCTTAGTCATGCTGGCCACATGACCCGGAAGCTGTACGCCAGCTCCCTCGGCCAATAAAGCGAAATGAGCGCTGCAACCCCAGAGTCGTACGCAATTGGACCTAATTTTACCTTTACCTAATTTTAACAAGCTTGCATTCATAGGAGGTGCTTAACTATCCGAACCCTCCTGTCATCACCACTGTCTCTGGTCCACAGCTGAACCACGTGCCCTTGTTGCAACAAGGCTCTCAATCCCCACGGCTATATAAGTTTAAAGGTAGTTTGCAAGGAAGCCCAGCTCTACAAAGCAAGAGGCTGTCCCAGGCAGGGAAGCACCCAGGAAAACACTAACAATGGCCAGGTGAATTAAGCACTTGTGTGAGTTTAGCAACAGACGAGGAGGTCAGATCAGAAACTCCACACTGAGCCTGGAGGGAGGGGAAACAGCTATGAAGCTAGAAAAGCAGCAGGGCTGGAGGAAAAGTAGGATATAAATTAAGCAAGTCAATACAGGGAGGCTTTGAGGGGGACTTTGCCTCCCACAGCTCCTTGTGTGCGAGTTTTAAGAAATGAGTTTCCCCTATGACTTTCCTTGCAAGTCTCCAGAGCTAAATTTGCAGCCCTCTACTGCAGCTGTAGCAAAGCAGCTTCCCTGGGCCCTACCTGGAAGACAGATGGAGCTCTTCGTCCCTCCCATGCCAGATTCTCAATGGACAGGAGAGCCCTCCAATCACATTTTAATGATCCCTTGCAAAATCTAACGCAGTGCTGTCTCTGCTGGCTGGCGGTGGCTCTCCAGGGTTCCACATGGGGGACTTTCTCTGCCCTCTCTGGAGATGCCATCAGCAGAGACGGAACCTAGGATCTTCTGCACCCAAGGAGATGCTCTTAAGACTCAGCTGCACCCTATCCCATATTGTGTGTGAACTAAGGCGTGACAATTCCAGAGATGACGGCCAATGTGCTAGGAATGCACACATCTCAAGCACTGCAGCGAGGCTGCAGAACAGACACTCACTTGGAAAGGGAGACTCCGCCTGGCTTCCCAATCAGCTCCTCATGGTGCAGGACGGCATCGCTCCAGGCGATGTCCAGGAATTCCATGATGGCCTGCATCGTTTTTTGGGGGTGCAGGACAAGCTGCTCATAGTAGATGGGGAGGCATCGCGAGAGCCCAATCTCCAAGCACTGGGAGTGCATCACCTCAATAGCTTTGTTCCACTTGATCAAGCAGTCCCGGTAGCTGCGGAGGTCAAAGCCTGCAATGGTGACTTTCCTGGTGATCATGGAGTGGACGGAAGCCCGGCCGTCACGCACCATCAGCAGAAACTTGGAGTTTGGGAAGATGCGGGAGAGGTACAGGGAGGACTTGAGCGTGAAGGGGTCTTTGTTGCAGAGGTACCTGGCTGGCTCTCCGTGCTTGGCAATCACCTCCAGGATGAAGGCCTGCATGGCGGCATCCAAGACTTGGTCAGTCACCCCAGCCTCGTCCAAGCGCATCTTCTCCCGGCCAGATTTGGACCAGGCTTGGCGCATGGCTAGCACACGCGGGATGATGCGCGTCTCCTCCCCACAGCGTACTTCCGGGTGAGCATCCAGCATGGCACGCATCAGTGTAGTCCCGCTCCGGGGGACGCCACCGATGAAGATCAGAGGCATCTCCTTGCTGTAACGGTATTCCACCCGGTTGGAGTCCAACATCACCAGCTCCTCGTTCTCCGGGCGCATCAGTCCCCGGTTGGCGCCTTGGCCCAGTATGTGCTGGCATTGCAGCATCTGTTGGCCCAGGTGGGCAGAGACCATCAGGGCAATGGCAAAGCCCACCCCCATAAGAACCCGCCTCATGGTCACCCGCATCCTCTCCCCATCCACATGGGCCCAGGATCCGGAGGTGCTCTCCCCACTTTCAGCATTCGGAGGATGGAAGACCAAGCCACAGACTCCCTGGAAAGGACAGAAGCCAACCATTCAAGACAGGGATGGATACTTGTTCTTTGGGCATTTAGCTTAATATTTTCATTGCATTCTATTCCTTTATGGGGAGAACAAGGGAGCCAAACTGCTTAGTAGCCGTCCATCTACTTTAGTTTTGTCTACACTGACTGGCAATGGCCATCCAAATTTTCAGAAGAGCATTTTCCTCCAGTACTACCAGAAGATGCCAGAATTGAACCTGGGACGTTTTGCATGCAAAGCAGGTGCTCAACCACTTTGAACCTTCTGGACCTTCTCTTCATCCAGTTCTAACACTCCCCCAAGGCTGACTGCCGATAGACCCCTTGAACTCTTGGAGGGAACCACTCCTGGAGCCCCCGTCTGAGCCAAGACTAGAGCCTCCCCCATGAGAAAGTGGGACCCTCACTCAAATACCTCTGCCCAGCCAGACCCTCTGGCTCACAGTCCCCCCCCCCCCCGCACAGCAGCCGCCCTCTCAATGCTCCGCTGGGCCTCCGTGCCAATAACCAAGCCGGCTCCAAATGGCTTCTGGTAGCTTTTGAGCGTGATCAAATATTAATCTCACAAAATGGGGGGGTAGAACAGGGGGAACACACCGGCAGAGCCATCAAAGATTCATGCGCCCACTGCCAGCACATGGCAGCACATCCATTACGGCAGCCAGGTGCTCACCTCAGTCTGGGAAGTTCATTTTGTGGCTGGCTGGCTTGCTAGCTGTTCCTTGCTCTCCAAAAACACCCAGGCGGGAGAGAGATTCTCTGTGGTGGGGAGGGAGGGAGGGAAGAAGGACAAGGTCAGTCAGATGCCAAGCAGGGAGGCGGGGGGGGGGGGGCTTGGAGCCACAAGGAGCAAGAGATTCCCCTTCTCGGCAGCATGGGTACTGTTTCTCAGCAGCGGTCAGCTGGGCTCCTCCTCCACTCACCCCAAGACACGCAGTTATGACACAAGCCCACACAAAAGCGGGTTGCATCTGCAACACCAAACCGAGCGCTGGGTGTGCAAACAAGCAGCCGTGTTGTTGAACCATTTATACGTAGCTTAACACTGTAATTCAGGGATGGAGGACGTCAAAGGTTGCAGGACTGCAGCTCCCAACATCCTGAGAGCTACAGAGGTTCCACATCCCAGTTCCACAAAATTATGCATCCAGTTGAACAGACATAAATACCCTGCTGCTGTTTATGTGATCATTTCCATCCCAAGCTGGAAGAAGGACACATAATAAGAGCCCTCATCTCGCTAGAGGTCATTCTGAAGGCCAGATTTTCCATGATGCCCTCGGTCGCTTGGCAATGTTACCACATGCTAGACAGCCAGCCAAGGAGTAGCAATGTGTGGAAAATGTAGCAAAAAGTGTATTTATCCTACAAGAGGCAATTTTTTAAAAAACACATAAAATTTCCACTTGAGTTAGAACAGGAGGCAAATAACTATTGTCTAAATGGCTCATCATTGGGGCTTCTTTACAACTACAGATTCACTCCAAATGGCCCAAGACAATCTAAATGTTTTTGGTGGAAGCTACCCCAGGTTAAAGTGTGGTGTCGGCAGGCACTGACTTGTCCCCATCTTAAAAAAGGGACCCTTCAAATGCGCAGCCCACAGAATAAGCCTGTCACCATGGCAACCTGGGGCAGCCATGTTGTACAAAGTGAAGCAAAGCAGGGGACATAAACATCCCTTAAAGGGCTTCAGCCATGAGCAGCCTTCCCTCCTCTTATTTATAGATTCGCACATGCACAAATATGTATAATATGACTTAAGGGGGGAAAGGCCTATCAGCAGTTCAAAGAAGAAACTTCCTCTTTGCAATCTCAGAGAAATCTGCTCTCATCCACTTAGCCATTGTGTTTAGAATAGCACAAAGCAGCTACATTCAGTGTTGTTTGTTTTGCTAAATGTTGGGAATACATGTGGAATATCATCAAAAGTGGGTTTTTTATTGTAATTTTATGTTGTGAATCACCCTGAGATCTAAGGGTATGGGGTGTACACAAATTTAATAAATAAAAATAAAATAATCAAAAGCGGAATGCTCAACAGAGGTTTAATATTAATTTCCTAAAGGTACATTGAACCAACTAGTAAGTGTCTGGAGGGCACCATTTTGGCGAAGGCCAGACTCGCACCCTGTTGGCCTGTCTGGCAATCATCAAGGCAGCATCAGCATCTTGATGATAACAAACTCTCTCTGAAGCACAGGAGGTCGTCCCAATGCTACAGCAACTGAGCATGTGTTTAGCTCAGAAGGAGGGAAGCTTTGGCTAACAGCCTCGCTCACAAGGTACCTGCACAGGCTCCGCAGACAAAGATAGCAAGAACCACAATGCATAGAACAGCACAAAGGGCACAGGTGGAAAGTGGTGGGAGCCACCCGGAAGATTGGGGGGGGGAGTTGCCCAAAAGTTTCATAAACACATCTTTGCACACCTTCTGTCGTGTCCCCTCTATCCCCTACTCCCAATTCCCCATCACTTGCTGCTTCCTTGCTCCTCCCTTTAACTGGAGATGCGACTGGGGTGTTGTTGTTGTTATTTCTATACTGCCCTTCATCCGAGGATCACAGGGTGGTTTAAAATATAAAAGCACAAAACTGGTGCCCATGGGAGCTTTCTTCCCAATACAAACAGCAGTGTCAGGGGAGCGATTTAAACCTGCATTCTGCAAAGAAACATTTGACACGGAACCTAGTTTGGACCTAAGGCATTATTTGGGGTGAGTTCACGCACTCACTTACACCTAAACACACATATACATATATGGCCGCAATATCAAACAGGACTTGTGTATTTGCAACAGCCATCACTGATCAAATGCTACACAGGGAGCAGTGTTCAGCACTGCACCACCACTGGAAGAAACTTAAGAAAAGTTAAAAAGCAGAAGACATGCCAATTTATTTACTATGCATTTCATTTCCTCCCAGAAACTCAGATCACAATGCTTTTCTAAGGGGATAGTTCACGTGTTTAGTTGATGCACACTCATGAGTGATTCAACTTTACTTTCTTGGTTACACACAGAGAGAAACAAAAATAAACTGAGGCTGCAGTCTTAAAGTTACTAACCAAATGAACCTGAGAACTTTTGCCCCTGAGCTATGTTCCCAACTCAGGGGAGACTCAGAGGGTAGAAAGGGAGAGGTGTGTCACCTTACATCCTGCCACCAATTCTCCCCCATAATTGCTGTTTCTGAGTCCCTCATGCCCTGCAAGCGGGCCTTGGTTCTGATCACGGAGCTTGGCTGGGGAGAATGGCAGGTGGGCATGTTCCTTGGGAGAAGATGCAGACTAGGGAAAGCGGGAAAGCATAAGCTCGCTCTTGCTGAATCTCTCCTGCAATCGCACACTCCCCCCCCAGAAAGAGAGAACATTAACGCAAGATCCGTCCCAACTTGTAAACTAGGCTCCTTTACCAGGAGCTGGAGGAGCAGAAGGGCTGACTGTGCAGTCCAGCAAGTCTCCAAATCTATCTGCTTAAACCCTGGTGTCCTACTTGCAAACAAGGTAGTAAAGGGTTATGTTCTTGTGGCCACGTGTTCTTGTGGCCTTACAGACTTTTCAAAAAGTAGTTCAAATGGATGGAGATACTCTAGAACCGTCACATGTGCTTGTTGCTAAGGAAATTCTGAGCCGTGCTGCTCACTGCCAAGAGAGATATTCATAGGAGAGGACCCTTTGGACGTTCTCCATGCACTCCTACAAAGCGCCTCACCAGGGATGGCAGAACAAACACCAGCTTCTTCTTCAGCAAGGTTTAAATAAAATCAGCAATGATTCAACAGATGCTGCTGAGTGCAAATGCACTCAGTTGTGGACTGCCTTGGGGAGTTTTTGTGATCGGAAGGGCATTTCATTATCCGGCTTAAACTCCAGGGCATTTTGGAAGTAATAAATTGGTGCAAGGCTTTTTCCCTTTAATAAAAAGTCTCCTGTTCCAGAAGGAGCGAGTGAGATGGTGGGGAGGGAAACGACAGCAGGAAGCTTGTCTTCGATTGCAGGTGTTCTGCACACCACCAAGCCTGCCAAGGTAGAATATGCCACTTGCTCTGCCACCCATGAGACGAGGCCAGGCACTCTGGGATTGCTGAGGGAAGGCAGAGATCCCACAAGCAGGAAAGGGCCAATGGCCCCCACTGCCTTATAACCAATTGTGCCCTGGAGTTGCCTCGCTCCATATTGTCTACAAGGACAGAGGCCGGGGCCCCAGTGTTTCAGACGGGAGACGTTTCCAGCCCTGCCTGGAGATCAAGATTGGAACTTTTTGTGGGCACAGCTTTCCCTCTGAGTTCCAGGCTGCCCTGCCTTTGTAACCTTCTGCTTCAAGGCAGCACCCTCCATCCAACAACATGCAAGGCAGTCCAAACTACTGACAGCAGTAGAAGATGGGCAGCAACCCAGATCATCTGCTGATGAGAAATTGCTCTCTGCCCACAGGAGAACCATCCACGATGCAGGCAAGGTGTTTGCCACGCAAGGTCCAAGTTAAGGCCTCTTGGCTTACAAAGTGAGAGGACAGTTAAAGAGTCTAATCCAAGCCCACCAGAGCCCCCCCCCCCCCAGCATATTCCAAGTGTCCTCCTTCACAGAGCAGAAACCAAACAGTGAGAGTTACCTACCCCCAAAGAGGGTAGGGGGAAAACAGGTGGCAATGAACTCCCATTGTGGACACCCCCATGGGAATTGGCCTACACATGGGCTGAGCAATTGTGGCTCTCCAGATCTTGAGGGGCTACAACACTCATCATCCTCTACCCTGGCCCTGTGGACTGGGGCTGATGGGAGTTAAAAGTCTCACAGAATATGGAGGGCCAACGTCTTCTCCATCTCTGGGCTACCTGGTGAGCTCCTCATTCAGTTCACCATTTCCTGCATGGTCCGCACTTTGAAGTTTTGTGTCCCAGTGCTATCTCGCTTTTGCCTTGGAGCCTTCCCCTCAAAAACCTACTGTCTGAAGCTGAAGCACAACAAAGAGCAATTCAAGTTTTCCAAAGATTGCCATTTCCTCCATTT